TTTCAGAAGTAAGTTATACATTGTAACAATGTTAACAAGGGCAGGAATCAAAATGCTGCTTCCCTGTATCAGGCAGGCCCCTGAAAGAGGGAGTGAATCAGTGATTGAATGCGTAACAGTAGCAGGCAACAATTAACACCTAGGAAAACCGCAGATCAACCAAGGGAAGAAATCAATAGGAGACAAATGTAGCAACCGGGAATTCTCTAAACTTCACTGTTCAAGGGCTAGAAGCCCTGGTCTGAGTTAATCAATGCCGGGGACCAACTTTTGGGCTGAACATCTCCAGATCGACCGCTCCCAGAGCCCTATTCAAAATTCATCAACTGACTCCCAAACCTGCATGTACATGCAGACGACCCCTGGGGCTGACAGATGCCATCCAGTAGCCACCGAGGGGGAAGTCCCACGAGGGTCAACAACCCCTGGATTGGGCAAACCTGAAAACTGGGGAGTCACCAAAGTCTGCCAAGGACAGATAAAAAGCAGTGAAAAGTGACCCTCAATGGCGCCCTCTTGATCTCCAACTTGACCAGCACCCGACTTGTCCAGCCAGAAGGACCAGCTGGTGACCCCCTTCTGGAGGATAACACTACACTGAAAGAAGCCTCAACTGGCCATCAACGGCAGACTCCAGAGCCTGTGGGATAGGTATACCTGACTCTTATAGTGTGTGCGCACGCGCGCGTGTGTGTGTGTGTATGTGGCCCCAAGGTTTATGATTTGACTTCATTACAGTGTTTCAATCCGCTGCATAAACCAGAATTTTAAGGATCCTGAGCTGGACATTTGTAAAAACATGAAGAGCAAGAAGCAGACATCTTTTATCCTCTGGTTTGTGGCAGAGGTGAGGTCTGTCCATAACACCCTGCAGAGGTACTAGTAAGGTAAAGGATTCCAGTCAAAGTCCCAAGGCATGAGATGCACACAAGTGAGAATGAGTATGTGGACAATTACTCGAGAGAGAACAGGACCTCCTTCTCTCTTTCCTGAGGGTTTCCCAAGCAGGAGTAGGGGAGCCCTCTAGTGATGGGATCACAAGCTGAGCTCTCTCTCTGAAGGGAAAAGCGGAAGACACTTTTAATGACATGGGAGCATTCATCTCCTGCACCCCTAGCATTCTCAGGGCTATTCCACGCTGATTCAAACTTAAGACAGTGACTTCTGAACACATGCTAACCCACTGGTGCTGAGCACTATCTTAGAGCAGGGAGAGAAGGAAATACACTTTTTCTATCTTTTTTCCCTGCTGCTTGCTACCAAGTGGCAGGAAAACTTAGGGCCCAGGGGTATAAACAAGTTACCATGAGGTGAAGGATGCTAGGCCTTTACAGCACATCTGCCGCTGTACAGTAACTACCTGAATACACACTCTTACCTACAGTAAGTGAGAACTAACCTGCAATGCCTTATTGCTTCTTGTGAGCTAAGATCAAGTATAGGAAGTATCTGAAGTCCCAGGCTAAAGAGTCTAGGATGGAGAGTGCTTGCCTGTAGTATCTGGGGGCATCCGCATCCCAAGACCTCTGGGCTTGAGCCTGTACATAGGATGCCTGCCAATGGATTTGGTAATACAGCTCTCACCCTGGGACTTCACATACTCCCAAACAAGGTGTTTAGAACAATTGAGCTCTGGCCTGCTCAATCAAAACGGTTTTTGGAACAACTGAGTTCGGCTTGACTGATATGATTGGAACTGATTTGGCTGATTTGACCTGGAACATGAAATGTATTAAAAAAAATAATTTTCTGAAGGGCAAGCTACAGGACAGTTGGCAAGAAAACCATTCCCCCCTTTACCTCACAGTAACTTGCTCATGTGTCCCTGACTTTTAGAGCTGTGATCAGCAGGTCTACTTTGAGGGTGTGAAGTGCAGAGCCACTGAGTCAAGCCAGCTTATACGTAGGAAGAAAGCTTTATCCTTGGCCCTTCTACCCTTCCTATTTTGCCATCAGCCCATTATAAGAAATTTCTGGCATGTGGAATGTCCAGGATTCAACTGAGTTATCAGGCACCTACAGGGCTCCCGAAAGACCAGGCCAGCACTTAGATGAGAATGAATATTCTCAAGAAAGTCTGCTGTGCATGCAGCTGCCATACCATGGCATTTCTTTTATGTTCAAATGAGAAGATGCAGTTCACTAAAGTGCCTGATGGCTGTAATAACTGAGAGGGAACTCCTTCTCCTCCAACTCAAAGACTTCCCTCCTAAGAGCAGTGTCTCCTATGCCCTGTATAGTAGGCCATGTAGTATCAGGCCAACTGCAGAGCTAGAAAAAGTGAGGCTCCCACAAGTTGAGGTCCTGCTTGTCTTTCTCATCTGCTCCCTTCCATGTTGCTCCTTTATTTCAGCAAGGAGCAAGTGTCACTCCCACTACTCACCGAGTCCAAACCAGGTGACCTAGGTAACAGAATTCAAGGCACAGCTGGCAGCCAAGAGGAAAGAGAGCTCTCTCAAATACAGGCATCAAGGAAAACCCATCCAGACACAATATGCACCCTTGGCAACTCTGTAGCACATTCAAACTCAACACAGATTGGTACACAGCCTTTAACAATGATGCAGTTTGGAAGAGCAGCTTTCAAACTGGGGTGCTCTGGCAACTACAGCTTCTGTAAATAATGCTTGCTCATGTCTGCAGGAATCTCATTGCTGACTGTAATGACAGCCAAAATTCTTGGGTTCAACACCCATGAGATTGGGCTTAGTAACTACAGGATACACTGGGTGTGCACCTACAACATAACACATGACAGCAGTTCTGAGCTTCCTGTATATCAACAAAGAAACGTATTGACCATGTGTTAGCAGAAACAGAGCAGGCATGGAAAGGAGGTACAGTACCTACGCTTTCCACCGATGTGCCAGGAGGGATGTAACCTTGTTTTAACAGCTGCTTCTTCATGTCATTGTTCTCAACCTGAACTTCAGAGACCATGTTACAAGGAATGTACCCTGCCTTTCCTGCACATTCGCCTCGGTAAAAACCATCAGCATCTTTGTCACCACACACCTATAAGAGAGAGAGCAACCACATCATCATACAGGTAGGGTGATCCAGCAGTCAAAATAGTCTAAAGCTAACATTAGCTGCTTAAATTAAATTCTTTATCCAAATGTCCAGTCATCAGTCCACCGATATGAAAGAGGCAAGCAGTAACACGAGAGAGATCTCACCTAGAAATGCTCTCACCTTCAGAATCTGCCCCTCCTTAAATGGGAGTTCTTCTTCTGCTGCATCAGGGTTAGGTGACATAGAAACAGGATCATAGTCAAAAAGGGCCACAAATATCCTCACCGAGTCTTCTTTAACAGTAGCCTCAGAGTCTTCATTCCTTGTAGTGTCTACCATGCAAACAGGCAAAAGAAATTAGGACTGTGTCCCAGGGAGCTTGTGCAGGAAAATGTTTGCGTTCTTCAGGACACAAATTATTCAGTTACAACACTTCAAAACAGATCTGCCTATCTCCACCCCTCTGTCCGTCTATCTTCCTGTACTATGCTACCTTTCAGGTACAAAAATAAAGTCTGGAGAGTCTCTAACACAAACTCACCTGTACTAGAGATAGGTGGTTTCAAAACTTGGCTTCTCAAGTTTTTGCTTCCTTTTCTGGTAGAAGTCTGCCATGATGGTAAGCCAGGCAATTCCTGTGACCTAGGATCTCCATTACCAGAAGCCTGCAACAGGGACCACTGGAGAGTTAATAAAGGCTACTGTTTGTGTTCTGCCATATGAATTCCCATATGCTGGTCCACCCCAGCATAGTAACTTTAAGCATTTCACAGAAAGCAATGCATTTAAATGCAATATTCCTCTTCAGGGGCACTCCAGAGATGAGAATTGTGTGGGACTGTAGAAAAAATGAACCAAATAAATATAGGCAGGTGCCCTTCCTGGAAACCAGTGACAATCCCATTGCTGAGTGCAAGGAGGGAGGAAAGGACACTTCAAATGAAAGTGGTGACTGAACAGCTAAATCTTCCATAAAGAATATCAAGGATCAGCATTAATTCATTATAAATTTTCATTAGTATTCTAAGGCCTCTGGACACAGACAAGTACTTGGCAAAGGGAGGAGGACCCTGCTGAGAAAAGGAATACTGCACCAATGACTCAACAACCACCTGGCTTAGAGAAGCAGAAGCAGAAGCAGCTAATACAAGAAAAGCCACAGAGCAGCACAGATCTATCAGCTCTCCCAGGAGTCCTTTGGGAGTCCAGCAAGAGATCCTCTCTCTATACAACACTAAATAAAGCAGAACACAGCCACGCTTGGGTGCAGGGGAGGGGGATGAAGCTATTGCCACTACCAGCTGCTTCAAAGCGAGAAGCGGAAAAGACACCGGACCCTTGTGTGCAATGAAGCACTGTGACTCCCCTTCCGAGGATGCTCCGGCTTCCTTCTCAAGCTGGGAAGCTTACGCTCCAGTTCCCAACCTTGTTCCTCAGAGCTGCCCACACTCCTCGGTGTCTCCTTCTCCCTGGAGGGGAACTGTGAGCAGTGGCTTGAAGACCCAGCCCACTCCGCTCCTTTATCTTCCACAGGCTCCTGCCTGTTTAGCTCTCTTCTGCTACTGGACAGGGCAGGTTCAGACGGACTGGAGCAGACACTCCATTCTTTGTGGTGGGCCTGGGGTCCCTCCACCCTACAATTTGGCCATAGCTGGCTGGCACGCATAGGAGAGAAGGTCAGGTCTTGCTCTTCTTCAGAGTCATATTCAATATCTATTTCCAGGCTCCTGGAGCCAATACAGTGGCTTGCCATGGAAGCAGACTCTGCTAGACGTGAGGATGCTAATTTTCGGTGGGATTTTCGGAAGCTGCCTTGTCTCATGTGACTGCCTATGTCCTGCCCATCCTTACCACCCGCACTAATTACATTCAACTTCTCCCTGAGGCTTCGAACTCTGTACAAGCTGCCTCCTGTCTGGCTGCAATTGCTCAGCAGGCGACTGCAGTGCTCTCTAGCATCACTCTGTCTCTTCCTGGTGGCTTCAGGCCGGTCATGGGCCCTTTCTTGATAGCTGCCCCCTTTCCTTTTGCCCCACAGTGGGCTTGCACCTGTGGTGGGCCTCATGCTGCTCTCCTGATAGCTCCAATTGCAGCTTCCCCTCTTCTGACCCCAGCTTGGCTCTGGAGAGCCAGGATTCTCATTGTCAGTGTCCTCCCCTCTGTCCTGAAGGATGCTCTCCTCCTGGGGAGCCTGACCAGGAAGGTTTTGATAGATATCACTGTCATCTGTCTTTGGAAATGGCTGCTGGGTGACAGTAGGGATGGGAACCTCTTCCTTTCCTGCATGGTAGGGGAGTCTCTCCAAGAAATAGTCTTGGGGTTCTTTCTCCTCCACCTGAGCTTGTTTCTCCTCCTCCTCTTCCTCCTCCTCTTCTTCCCCTTCATCCTCTTCCTCAGTCACTTCAGGAATGCTAAACAATTTCTTGCTGCAGTTTTTCTGCAATGGAAGCTCCAGAATCCGCTCCAGAATTTCCTCATCGCTGTCGGTGTCACAAGGTTCCTGCTGTGCACCCAGCCCCCAAGAAAAGCCACATGGGGGACAAGCAAAGAGAGAAAGAGAGGAAATAAACATTAACAATGGCGACAAAGCTACAGGTGCCCCCCCACCCTCACAGTGCCCGAAATGGAACCATCCGCTAGCAGAACCAGGACAGCACAGCACAATGTAGCAGGGACTGCACTCAGCAGAGAAGCAGGGTAGGAAGCAGAAGCAGGTATGGCTCTTCTAGCTAAAAAGAGATCAATTAGATGAGCTTGCAATGCAATGAGAAAGCAAGAACGACCAATGGGTGGAAATGCCTCCCCCAAAACCTGCACAAATGGCCCTTCCAGCTTCATCCATTGGGTCCCACAGAGCTCTGGGATCACTGTGCTGGTCCACAGCTGGGAGTGGGTGGGCGGAGTGGAGACTGGCTGGACAAGGGGAAGGCATGCACACATTCTCTATGTTTCTGTGCATGCAGGGATGAGCCATTTGAGCTCTCCATAAGAATAGCCTGACTGCTTCTCATAGTGTATTGGACCAGTGCTGAAGGGCATGAGATTTCCATCTCCTCCCCACTCTCCTTTCTATGTCCTGAGGAAGGAATCCCTGAGCAGAGGGTACATAGGGTCTGTTGTTCTGGGAGGTCTTTTCATAGGGTGTTTCAGTTCGTCTTCCTGCAAACCTTAGTGAATACAAATGCTTCATAGCCACAAAAGGCAATTGTTTATCTTAAACCAAGCTATAATGGAGGCACTTGATCATGCAAGGCAGTGCTTCATTAAGAAGTGTATCCAAGGCTCTTTACACCTATCTGTTTATGTACGTTTTAGTTAGTTTTGAACCACTGACCAATAAAGGTTCATTATCTTTTGCTTTTTATTGTTACTGTTACAGAAATAAAATAAAATGGTCACACTTCATATGGAATGTTCATTTACAGTGTATAACGAACTAATACAGGATTAACGGATATTACAAACTTGTTACAGCCAAAAGTAGTTTGACTTAGAAACAAATACAAACCCATCAGTAGACGGTACTGCAGATGACTGTAACAGACTCCATGGTCAGGAGTTTATTAAAACATGTATTAATGATTAGCTCTCCATGAAAGATTCTAAAAAGTACTCATAATGCATGACCAATAAGGCTTAGCTTAATTGCTTACAAAGTCATGTCCCTTATTTAAAAAGGAAAGGAAAAATATACTTTTAATATAATAAAATAGGCGCTAAAAAGTTCCTTGATTTTGTACACATGTAAATGGCATTTTACAAAAATAGAAATAAACAGACTTTATGCTCAGTATTGTGAGCTGTCTTGCTCATGCTTCATCTTCAGAACCTAAAATCCCCGTTACCTTGGAAAAGAAAATTCTGAGATACACAATAAGCTTCACATTAAGAACAAAAAAAAGAACCAGCAGACGATCTAATCTTCAATTTCTCTGCACATGTTCTTCTAGGCTATTTCATAATGGATCTGTAGAGAGCAGATATTTGTAGCAAGGGAGGGCCTAACACCAGCCAGACCTGCCCGCCAGAGGTGGATGATCAGCTGACCAAGAAAGGAACCATAAGTGTCTTACCGCGTTCTCCCCCAGCACAAGCAAAATACCATTTACTATGTATTATGCTACAGTGACTCAGTGCACTGTTCAACTGTCTGGTCTCTGTTGTTCATCTGTAAGAGGATCACATTTCTTTTGTCATTTTATGTGACTGCTGCTTTAGTTCCTCAAGTTCACAGACCCTCTCCCTGGTGTAGTACCAGGTCCTTCATCTCTCAGCTGCTGGTAGCTGGTGCTACCCTCAGATAGCATTATGTATTTAGAGAGTTTAAGAGTGGAAGGGACCGTTACTCTATCTCCTCTATCCCCTGGAAAATACTTCATCATTCTGTTGTGATACTAGTACCCCATCTTTCTTTTTTTTCCTAACACAAAATAACAATATGTATTGAATACTTTTGCATTTTCTGTATCAGTATTAACAACTTTACCTTCTCTATCTAGCAATTTTTTAAATCATATTTTGTCTGGGTTTTCCTTCCAGTCGATTTTACTCATTTCACGCCTTTGTAAAATATTTTACTGCATGCTTTAACTGAAGGTCCATCATCTAGGGCTCCCTGTGCACCAACAAGTAGAAAGGGCACGATTAGGACCCGATACCTGATCCCAAAATCACACTTCTTGCCATATACATTTGGCATGGGAAGAAGCAAGATTGTTGGGATTGGGGCTTACATTCCATGGCGCTTTTAAATGAAAGTGCGCCAAAGGCTTTAACAACTAACTCATTCAGAGAGGCATCAGCTTTCATAAATGACAACCATAACACCTGATAAAGTAGGCTGTCACCTACAAAAGCTCATGCTTCTCTGAATGTGTTAGTCTTTAAAGGTGCCACCCCTCCCCTGCTTCCTTCTTTTTCTGTTTGGGTCCCTGAAAGCAGCAGTACAGATGGATCCTGCAATGTCACCATGCATGTTTTCAATGAATTAGCTAACATTCTTCAACAATGAGGAGGAAATCAGGAAAGGATATTTCATAAATTTATAGTTTTGAAAGGAAAAGGCATTGCTATGATCACCCAGAATGACCTTCTGCAAACACAGGCCAGACAACTTCTCTGAACTAATTCTTGGTTCAAGTCTAAAATGGCTGGAATTCTGTACTTGGATACAGGACCTTACATTTGGGGCTATGCTGCAACACGTGCCAATTGTGACAAGATCACACTGCTCTGCATCACTAACTCTTTTCATTACCTAATGTCCCCCATATTTTGGGGGCCTCTTAAAACTTCTTCAGTGATGATTTTACAGCCATTGAAAAAAAATTTAAACAAGGGAGAACAAAAAAGGCATCTCTGCAACACCTGACAGGAGCCAGGGATGATCATTACATCTTGAGACCTCTCTTTAATTGATTTCACTTATTTCATAAGTGTTATGTGATTTGTACTGTCATTAGTTCAAGCTCTTCTTAAACAACTGTTTCCAAGCAAGGAATGGAGGGACATTACCAGCTACCTGTTGATTAGCTCCAAAAAGCCCTAAGTAGACACTGTCCTGTCTGCCTTACACAGATACCTCTCAGCATTGGCTAGTGTATCACATGCTGGCTACTCTGTGTTATGCCAGATGGAAGGGGGGTATCCTCACTATTACCGAAGAGGAGCAATTCATTGATATCTGTTCTGACACCTCTGTGAAAATCAAGTTCCCAGCAATGTTTCTTCCTGAATTTTGGATTAGTGTGCAAGCTGAATACAAAGAATTAAGCAAGAAAGCTATGAAACTACCGATTCCCTTCACAACATCCTACTTATGTGAATCAGGGTTTTCAGCAGTTGCTGCTATAAAAAGGAAATACCAATCAAAAATAAATGTGGAGCGCAAAATGAGACTGGCACCCTGAAAATAAAGCCCAGATTTGAAAAACTAAGCAGTACCAAGCAAGGCTTTACCTTGTTTAGGTATGTAGGCAATAGAAGGAAAACAAATGGAAGTGTGATACACCTGCTTAACACCTTAGGACAGCTGGTAACTGACACTCGGGCAAAAACTGAACTCCTGAATGCCCACTTTGCTTCGGTATTTCACCAGACCATGGGGAAAGTCAAGCGAGATAAGGCTCATAGGGGACATGATGGGACTGACAGCCTCCCCACTGTGGATGCTGAGTGGGTGCAATACCAATTAGAAAAGATAGACATTTATAGATCAGCAGGACCAGATGGATTTCACCCAAGAGTGCTAAAGGAACTGGCTGAGGTCATTGTGGAACCCCTGGCAAAGCTCTTTCAGAATTCGTGGTGCACAGGGGGGATCCTCAAGGATTGGAAAAGGGCCAATGTTGTGCCCATCTTCAAGAAGGGGAAGAGGGAGGACCCAAGCAACTATAAGCCAATCAGCCTCATCTCCATCCCAGGGAAAATCCTGGAAAAGCTCATTAAAGAATCTGTGCGCGATACACTTGCAGAAGGTAAGATTCTGAATGACAGCCAGCATGGCTTTGTCACAGGTAGGTCTTGTCTTACCAATCTCATCTCCGTCTACAATCAGGTGTCTTGTCACCTGCACGCAGGAGACGCGGTAGACGTTATATACCTAGCCTTCCAAAAGGCTTTTGATCTAGTATCCCACGATATCTTTGTGGGAAAGCTGGAAGATTGCGGGCTCAACTGCTCAACAGTTCAGTGTGTGGGAAACTGGCTACATGGTAGGACCCAGAGAGTTCTCATGAACAGATCTGTGTAGCCCTGGCGTGAAGTGGCCAGTGGTGTCCCTCAGGGTTCTGTACTTGAACCAGTGCTTTTCAACATCTTTATCAATGATTTGGATGGGGGAGTGAAAAGCTTGCTGGCCAAGTTCGTGGACAACATCAAGTTATGGCACAGCGTGGTCACATCAGATGATAGGTTGCAGATACAGGTGGACCTGGACAGGCTCGAGAGTTGGGTAGACTAGAACCAGATGAAGTTTAATGCTTCCAAGCATCAGGTGCTCCATCTAGGGGGCAAACAACCCTCAGCATACATATAGGTTTGGTGGCAACAGCTTGACTTGCACTACGGCTGAAAGGGCTCTAGGGGTAATGATCAACCATAGTCTGAATATGACCCATCAGTGGAAGGCGGTGGTCAGCAGGGCAAACAACAGGCTGGCATGCATCAACCAATGCATCTAATGTAAAACTAAGGAAGTGATACTTCCGCTGTACTCAGCACTGGTGAGACCGCAGTTGTTGTACTGCGTCCAGTTCTGGGTGCTGCTTTTCAATAAGGACATGGAAAAACTTGAGAAGGTCCAGAAAAGAGCCACCTGAACAATCAGGGACTTGCAAAGCAAGCCATACAAGGATAGGCTGAGGGCCCTGGGCCTCTTTAGCCTAAAGAAGAGAAGGTTGAGAGGGGACTTGATAGCAGCTTACTATAGCAGAAGATTGCATCAGGAGCTCAGTGAACAACTGTTCACTAGGGCACCCCCGGGGAAGACTAGGACCAATGGCTATAAACTCCTGGAAGGCCGCTTCACACTTAATATCAGGAAAAACTTCTTCTCAGTCAGGGTGTCCAGACTGTGGAATAAACTCCCTCCAGAGGTGGTGCAGTCATCTACCCTGGAGGTTTTCAAGAGGAAACTAGACCGTCACCTCGTTGGGTTTTCAAGAGGAAACTAGACAGTCACCTAACCCCAGTTGTCCTCCTGCCTAAAGGGGGTGAGGGCTGGACCAGATGATTTGCAAGGTTCCTTCCGGCCCCTCACAATCTATGAATAAGCTCATGCTTCTCCTTGAAAACTACTGACAGTGGGAGGTTTTCAGTGCAACAGTTTTGAATTTGATAGACTTTATAAAGAAGTGCTTTTTGACAAATATATTTCACTATATACAAAGGCAAATGTGCTTTATTTATCTCCTAACTAATCCTAATGAAATCAATAGCTTTAATCATGGGGGGACGGGGTCACGTAAATGTATATATTATTTTACAGGCTTGCAGTATCACAAAGTTTGAGAACCCTTGCTCTATCCCTTTGAGGCCCAGTTCACAACTACAGCGGGGCTGAACAGGACACAATGTCCTGGTGAGTGCTATCAGCTCTTCTGGCCAGTTTACCCATGGCTCTGCCCACATGGGGGTGCCAGAATGCTGTACTAGAGCAAGCATTCCAGGAGTGCCAGCTGCAAAATTGCTCAGCTGGCCCTTGTCACCAGCTGCCATGCTCCTTCCAAAACCACTTGACACACTGCCTCCATGACCCCTCTGCCTTGCAGTTGCACCCAAACCTCTCCATGCAACCACATGAACCCCTCCCTGAGCATCAGGATGAAGGAGTCATATATTTGTCTTTGGCAGATTCCTCATACTGTATACTGCTGAGCTATGGCTGATCAACAGATTCATCACAGCTACAGCAGATTCATCACAGCTATAACTGATCACAGATTCAACACTGCAAACTACCAGTCAGGTATTTAATAGTCAACTAATAGCTGCATTTTGGAACTATGAAAAGAATTAGAATAGATCCCTACCATGCAGCCAAACACTATTTTCTTTAAGTCTTTCCAACTACTTGCGCACACAACTTTAAATCTTTCTCCTTGTGAATATTCATTACAACAGTTATTTGCTTGATCAAATACCATTTTTCAGTCATGTACAATTTTAACTGCTCCCTGCTGTGGATACATTATTACAATATATTGTTTAATTATACGATCACATGCTGCTTCTGCAGGACTGGCATTTCTTCTCTTTTGAGAACTTAACCTTATAGCCTTAGACTCAGTTCTGCACACACTTATGCATGGGCATAGCTTTATGAATATGAGAAATCTGAGTGCAAGCGGATAAGGTTATCCATGTGCCTGAATGTTTGCAGGGCCAAAGTATCGTTTTCATTTCATTTTTATATGAGATCTCCGTACGTGTGAACTTTATAGATTATGCTTTATTGTTTTACACAAACTTGAGTGATTTACTACCTGCAAGTGTTCGTTATTATTTACTTACTAGGGGTGAAATCTTGGACCCAGTAAAGCGAGTGGGAGTTTTGTTATCAACAGCCAGGACTCCACCGGAACTTGCTAAGTTTGCAATGCCTTTTGTACTGTTGCAGCTAAATAAAATATGTCTGACCCACTCACCGTTTTATAGCTACATTTCCTTGATTACCCACCTCCCCTTTCTCAGGGTGCACGTGCTCCTGCTGGCAGAAGGCATAAGGCTGTACAATGGGATGCTGCGAGCTTAGGGAATGACCACTGCACGTGTCTGGACTCAGAAGGGTTTTTCTCTCATTTGCAGATGGAATGGAATGTTTCCACCCAAAATCCCCATTATGGGGATAGTGTTATAAGATACCTTTTCCCCATTCTCTCTGCTGCAATGTTCCTTCAAATCCCATTTTTCTTCTAGGACATCTGAACATAGCTCCTCCTCCTCCTCCTCCTCCAAAATATCTGAAAGGTCAGAGCTACGGCTGTGCTCAGCAAGAATATTCAGCTGCCGTCTTCCTGCTTCAGACATTTTTTCTTCTTGCTATTTAAAACAAAAAGAGTTCCCTCACTTATGGAGAATGCCGACAGCCCAGCCATCATCACCAGGTCAGCGTTCCAGAAAGCCGCATTTTATCCTTCTGTCTCTAAGCACATAAATCTAAGGAACAGCAGGAGATAAGAGTGCAGGATGGAAACAGAGTGCCTTTTCATGGGCAAAACCAATACATAGCAACTTACTGTTTTCTGACAGGGGAAGAATGGCATTCTTTCGCTACATACAACTCTGCATGTTGTACCTGCAACTTGGAGGTATCAGAAACAATAGCCCTTTAGTAACACAAACCTCTCTCTTGACTCTGGGTACCGTCACAGAAGAGTCCCCTCTGGAGATTTCTTTCATCAGTTTCTTGCCTGGAGACATTCCTAGTAGCTCTTGAACACAGCTCCCACTCACACCTAAGTCTCTGTAGCTGTCCTCCCCCAGCTTAGCTGAGCTGCTGGAGAGCTGAGGCTCTGGACTCAAGCACTTCTCAGTTCCCTCTCTCCCTCTTTCAGTGGTGGATTCTTTCAACCACTCCTCTGCAAAACATGCCTGGCAGGTCTCCACAGGCACCTTCATGTTGCTGGTGTTGGTCTGGCTTTCCAGCTCAAGGTTTTTCAATACAAAGAGCTCCACCTGGGGAAAAAAAACCCTCAATTATAAGGGTAAAAGACCCACTGTATCTATGTAGTATTTCTTCCTCAGTGCAGGTTCTGGGGCCCACATTCCTGTCTTCACTTTAGGCACCCAAGTCCTTTATTGGATTTACCCTTAGTCCTAGGTTACCCACACAGTTCAACTGATGCCTCTCAGTTTTGACCCGCAGTCCCCATCTCTTTCCTTTCTATACCTTCATACACTCTCGGTACAAGCTGCAGCCCATGACTAATACTATTGTGATTTATCGGTATCAGATGGAACGGCATGAGATGAAAGGGCAGGAGGTCATTGTTAAACAAACTCTGGTTCTGTTTTGAATTGAAAACTGGCCCCTGCTGCAGGTAGGCCTGGAGCCCCTTTTTATTTACTGCTGGGGCTGGAGTTATACCAAAGGTGGCTCCCTTGGTTCTAGATAGTTCTGTTTCCAGCTCTAAGACAAAAGCTGACAGCAAAGACAGAAACCAGACTGGCCTTATGGCAGACAAGAAGCTGGGATGAATGTAATGACATGTATTTGGATGGGCACCATTGAAGAATCCTGTGGCTATGGTATGCACATCTCAGGAGAACAGCCCATATTCATGCAGATCCAGCCAACAGCTAAAGAGCTATACTCGGTGGCAAAGCAAGGAGCTGGAGGTAATGGGAGGACAGCAAAAATTCTCCGCAGCTCTGTGGTTGGCACTCATCTGACCACAGCCAAGCTACTTCACTAGACCACCCACCCCTTCCTTCAAGGACCCCTCTGACTGACCTATCAGCTGTCACTCCCACCTGCCCACCAGGATTGCAGCCTTAAAACTACCTGATGCTATGGCCCACACTCCTTCCTCACTCCTCAATGACTATCTCCTTTGTATAGGTTTTGCCAACTACCTCCTGACTTTATGCTGTCCACCCTACCTTTAGCATAACTCACAGTGATAAACTGCACAGCAAGGAAAATCCTGCACTGGTCTGAGATGGGCAGGATGGCAAATGCTGTAGAAACAGCATTACCATCAATGCTGCTGCCTTTTCCAAATCTCCCTGGGACAATGCTAGTGCTCTGCTAGTACACATGCATGCATGCAAGCAAATGAGTTATGAGGCTCATCTACCCTGTCCTGTTCTGAGTACACACTACAGTAGCCAACAGTTTCCCATTGTTCTGCCAGCAGTGGAAGAATAACTTAATGTCAAACTCAGAAGAGAACCACCTGACAAGAAACACTACACAGTAGAGTTTTCCTCTGAATCCTCTCACTTCCCCAGAGAGGACTGGCTCTCTCTCCCCCTTCCCAGAGTCTGAGAGCTCCCAGTTCTTTTCCAAATAGAAGGCCAGATACTCACCATCACCTCTGCTTGGCTGTCTTCACCAGAGCCCTTCACTGCTGGGTTCCTGGAAGCTGTGAGTTCTTCTTCACTCATTCCTGCAGGGAACATGCTGCTGGCAGACTGTGAAAGGTCAGTCAGGCATTCCTCCTCTCTTGAGGCATCTGACACGGATGACAAGGTGCCCGTCACTTGCATTGAGGAAGCACTGGGAGAAGAAGGGTGCAAGCACGGGGACATCTTTTCTGGCAGAGAATCCATTGAGCCTTCACAGCTGGAGGTGGTGTAGATGGTGAATTTAGCGTCAGTGGAAACCTTCTGTGGTGGGAAGGGTGGAGCTGTCTGATATGTCACTGGGGTTTGCACAGGCAGAGAGTACCTGGACTCCCCACAGAGGAGTTTAGAGGTAGAATTCGTAGAAACAGCAGACTGTGGTGGTGAGCAATGACTAGAAGCTTTCAGCAGACTTGAGGAGATTTGGGCTGGCACTGAATCCACTGATTCTCCATATACAGACATAGTTCTTACAGACACCTCCTGGCACACTTGGAACATCTGTAGCTGGGACAGGTCCACTAGGACACTCCCTGCTGTTGGAGAGGTAACTTCCATCACCTGCAAGAGAATCAGGAAGAGTCTCTTTACTGTGCACAGGTAACATCATATAGAAGTGTCATAGTCTTCCAACTCCAGTGCCCTTACACAGTCTTCCAAGGCTCACAGAAGTTAGGTGTCAGGAAGAACTGCAGGCCTCCAGCCACTGACTAGTAGAGATAAGGAAATTCACACTAGAGAGACAAGAGAATGCAAGACCCCAGCATGGATCCAGTGGTCAAATTATCAGAGTGGTCCTGGCTGCAGCCTCACAAAGGGCTCCTTGAGCTGTCCACCAGGGCAAAGATCATGTGCCATTGTGGCTTGGGTGTGGGTGGCTGTGGGAAAACCCTGCTGGCAAAACCAAATAGAGAACATACTCTGACAAAGCTGGCACAGAGAGGGAATGAGCCTGTTTTTCTGGCAGGAATGATTAAAGTGCTTCCTCTCTTGCCCAGAATTTGCTACCCCAGGTCACATGAAATGCTTGGATATTTTACCAGATATATTATCTCTTGCTCCCTCCTGTAGCCCTCAGATCAAATGCCAGCTCTTTTTGCCCCTGAAACTGGCACCACTCCCAACCATGCCAAATCTCTGCTGGTTCCCTCTCTCAACCTGGCACATGGGTCCAGAGTCTTTGTGGCTTGAAGCAAAGAAAAAGCATCTCCATAGCAAACTGTGCTGTAACCTGTTTTACACTGTGTGTTTTTAAATGATTGCAGTGTGCATCACCCTAGACATGGTTGCATATTTCTATGGCTGATCCTGTGTGCATGGGAGGTCACAATTCAGTTTCGGTATATAACATTCTTGAGGATTCTTTGCAAGCAGCAGTACTGAATTTTGGAATATCTCACACCCCTTTCCTATTTCTATTTCCAATCCTACTCCACCTCTACGGCATATGAGTGAATTAAGAGTGATCCTGTTCCACCTGCTCAAGTCCCTGAAAGTTCCTACCTTGTTTTGCAACATGCATCTTCTTAGCCTGAAGACTGAGTCACAAAAAGTAGCAAGGAGGAAGACCCACCCATGTTTTGCATTTACTGTTTTTCAGGGACTCGAGCAGGGTGGAATAGGATCATACTAAACTATCTAAGTCCACTTCAGTAATAGGTGGAATAGGACTGGGCCACCGAGTTCCTTTACTAAGGGTTTGAAAGCAATTAAATAAATAAATAAATAAAACCCTGAAATAACTACTGGAGAGTATGGTCCTTCCTCCCACACCACAGAGCTGCCAGAAGGAGCTCCAGAGGTTCACACTGGCAGAGCTCCTGCCGAGGGACAAGCAGCAGGGGGCAGGGTATTCTCTCTAGCTTTAGAATTCTCTCTTCTTGTTCTCTGTAACAGCCCAGAGCTGCTGACCTTCAGGACACACTGCAGAACTCATTTTTCCCCTGGGTTTTTGAAAATGGGGCAGAATTATAATGGTGCAGAATGGGGAAGCAGAAGGAAAAAAAGTAAACTCTTAATTGTCCTGTTTGGCTGGTGGGTATAATTGCCCCAGTTTAGTTATAATTGGAGGCTGTTTTTCTTTCCAAGAAGTGCCCTTTTCCATTATATCTGCAATGCCTGATGTACAAAGACAGACACCTTTTTCAGAGTGTATCAGTCAGGATGAACAACAGAGATAAAGCCTGACCGCCACTTCTACTTATTCTAGTATCCATCAACATCCACCCCCACTCCTTTCACACAGCCTGCCCATGTTCTTACTGAGGATGCAGATGCTGCTGCTCTCCCCAGAGCTAATCCCTTTCAGAGACCTATGCAAACCACCTCACAGCTGGACCATTCTACTAGGCAACTCTAAATCTAGTAGACAAAGACAAAAGTGAAAGACATGTAACCTGTCCTCTCTACAAGGGAGTGGGATAACTTAAAGATCTGGAGAGTTCATAAACCCCACTGCAGTTGGATGATATACACTAACCATATTCCTGGAATGTGCAATCACTTTGGTTTGAAACTCAGATTAGCTTGTTTGTTTCTCTGCAATGAGGTAACACTAAGAGACAATAACCCAGAAACACCTGATTTCTAGCTTATGCCCATATGGTGCTGCAAGCAGAGCTGTACCATGACATCACAGGTAACTCAGCCAGTCACCACTCCTTCCCTCCAGTTCATTCACATGCTTCAATCCTGTTGGTTGAAATAAATCATCAGATGCTGCTGCAAATCAGGACTGCAGTGCTTGGGCAGAGCCGGGACTCAGGACCAGAAGAGAAGACACTGCTCTTGATCAGGAACTAGAATGGCTGAGAAGGAGGAACAAAGCTGAAGACTGACATTGCATCCCCCTTCACACTGTGCCAGGTTCAGGCAAGATCGTTCAGCTCTGCCCAGTCAAAATTCTGTCTCTCATGCAGCACCGAATGGGCACTGTCAAGAACAGAGCTGAGTTAGGGTTACTGGAGGGAAGAAGCGTAACTGGTTGAGCTGCCTTTGTTCTCATGTTGCCGCTCTCTGTGCAGCAGCAGATGGACCTTACCAAGGAGACTCTGCTGATACAAAACTGATAAAACAAACAAAAAAACCCCCAACAACCTTCCCTTCCCCTCCTGTCCCCTCCCCCCCCCACCCCAAAAAAAAAAAAAAAACCCCAAGAAGAGAGGCTGAGACCACTGAATAGTAAAGTACTGGCACCGTGGCAGCAGCCTGGAAAATTACTACAGCCTCCAGAAATGAGTCCAGTAGCATAACTAGGGCAGGACAACCAGGGCAGCAGCCGCAGCCACTAACCTGGGGAGGGAGGGATGGGGTGTGCAGAAAAATATCAAAAGCTACCACTGCCAAAAGTTTCTGTTGCCCCCAAGCATACCACTGCTCCAGACACCCAGCTGCTTCGTTATGCTTCTGACTGAGACTGTTAGTTCCATCACCTCCCATTCACCTACAGCTCAGCTTTAATAAGCAACAAAATCTGCAGCCCTCTCTATATGTCACCTTACCCCCTGCTGAGCAGAATTATCTCCATGCACTGGAGGAAAAATAAGTGAGGCACAGAAAGGGAGGGGGCTTGCCCAAGGCAAAGTGCTAGGCCAGGAGGAGAACTTTGTTCCTTGGCAGTGTGCTCGCACTTTCTGTCCACAATGCCTCAAGCAGCTATTAAATTCCATTCAACATCCTAGTCAATCTTTAAGTTTTGGGAAAGCAAATAGCATCTGCCTCATCAAAATGTTTAATTTCTGCTTGGCTCAGATAAAATCCTATCTGCCCAGGACACTGCAGACTAATGCTGAAGCTACATTATCGACCTGCTGGCAGGAATGTGCCTGAAAAGCTAAAAAGTGTCACCAGATGCTACATTTGCCACTGATTCACCAAACACACTACAATGACATACACATAGGAAAAATCCTTCCATAGCTGATGGCTCATCTCTATGCTCTCTGGAGCACAGAACTCATCCTTTTTGGGGGTTTACACTTCATTACACAACAGGAACCCCTCTGTCCTAGCTGGGGTATCCGAGTTCTATGAGGATGGCAAATGGAAACATAATACTCCATATGCCATCACTGAGCCATGCAGGGCCACTACCCACTCCTCACCTCTGGAGGCCATGCCCCTCCCACATCATCAAGCATTCAGGATGCTGTCACATGCCCATATATATATGAATTTCGGCCTATGCAGTATCGGCAGCGTACCTTCCGTCCATCAGCATACACCGCATAACCAGTAACTCGCACTCCGTTCGATGACCCTTCTGCATCAATGGTAACAGGCAGCCAGCTGATGACCAGAATACCTGGTGAAGGACCAAGTTCCACCTGGACATCGAGGGGTGCATCAGGAATTCCTAGAAGAGATCAAAGGGAATTTCTTTTTTATTTTCATCAATAGGAACACAGTTGCCAGGCTAAATCCACCTAAGAATTTGACACGAGGTTCTCACACCAAAGCCTCCAAACAGAAATGCAAAGCAATGCAATGGTTTGTCGAGATACTTGGGAGGCACAAGACAAAACCAGAGCAGGAAAACATGATGCTTTTGCTCTGTGAACTTTCAAGAAGCAGAAATCAGGGTTTTGCAAATGGAGCCACGGGTGAAGTGTAACGACCTGTGCAGCACAATGTATGCCTTTGATGGTGAATCACATCACCTGTCCCCTTGAGAAAGCACACTGCACACTTCAGCAAGGGTGGATGCCTCCTATTTCACTGAGAAATTTGCAAATAAAAAATTTAACTTATAAAAAAAATAAAATAAAAACTAGGGAAGACTGTTATAGTGAAGAAACAAAGAATTTTACACTACGGAATCCAGTGAAATCACCTAGCAAACTGCCCATCTTGCTTCCACTCCAGCCCCAATACCTGCTAATGGAGTAGTGAAGTGTACCACTGCTGACTTCTGCTCATGCTTCTCCAGGGGCAACTCCCAGAGCATCTTTGGGGGCCGGGCCTCCACCTTGGCAACATACTGAGTGTTAGGGTGCAGGTTGTGGAAGGTGTACCAGTAGACACCCGGCTTTATTGTGTCGCACTCTTCCTCATTGAGGTACACAGCATGATTGTAGTTGCTGTTGCATGGAAGCCAGGTGACTTCTGCTGATGCGGCTGTGATGTTTCTGACTTTCAGCAGAGTGGGGGCTATGCAGACATCTTGCCCTACGAAGAAAGTGCATCGCAGCCTATCAGAGCTGCCTTGTTCCGTCACACTCTGCACAGAGATCCGGTAGGCTTTTGTCTTTAAGTCCAGCTTCTCAACAATGGCTTTGGTTTGAGGGCCACTCTTCACGTTCTGCCATAGCTCTGCATCCACATAAATATTGTAGCTCTGTATCTCTGGGTAGCCGGCTGGCAAAAGCGGTGGTTCCCAGCCTACAACAATACTTCTGGCAAGCTGTTTGATCAGAACCAACTTTCTTGGATAAGGCACTGCTGTGTGACTAACAGGCTCGTCCTGGTCTCCTTCTAGCCTACCGGGCAATGGGCTGACACTGGTTTCTTCAGCAGAATAATCACTTTTCTCTCCACTGCTGGTGCTTGTACTGACAAAACTCTTCTCGTGGTATGAGCTATGAGTAAGATCATTTAGCTCGGGAGGCAGAAAGGTCACGAGGTCATCGTCTGAAACTCGTTCAACAAAATTTGAGGGGACCAGCCCTCTCCTGCCATCCATCAGCTCCCCTAAACAAGAAACAGGAAACCTGTTACCACACTCACCCTTCAGACTTTAAACCTGACCATGGAATTGGCAAAAGGCAGCAGCATCACTGCCCAATCATTATCCCATCACCACAAGGAACAGGAAAAGCCCTCTCAGGTCACATTAGCACAATGCTGACAGGGAGGTCTGCTCTGTCCCACAGGCCTTGGGACATTCCCTAGTGCATTCCCAAATACTGCTAAATGTCTGCAGTAATGAGGCTCCACCGCTCCCCTTGGCACTACCTAGAAAGGTTTTTAGGTATTTCCCCTAGGCTCCCTTTTCTATATTTCACCCCATTGCTCCTGGTCACACCTCTTTAACTCTCTCACCACTTCCTTCACCAGCCTTTCCAATCCATGCAGTTTCTCACCACAGCCCCTTGGGTCATCTCTTAGCACATGTAAGCAGTTTGTACTCTTCTGATCTTTCCTCATAAAAAAACTTCTCTCTCCAGTTCCCTGATCCTCTTTGTAGCTCTGTTCCGATGTCGCCCCAGCTTGCCTGTTGAATTCTGGAACAAAGGTACCCGGAAAGAAACCCAGGGAAAACACATGGCCTCCATGTTCTGTAGTGAGGTGGCTACAGCACAAATCAGATGACTTGTGGGACCATGGCTGCTTGTAATTTGCTGATTCAAGTTCCAGTGACAAAAGAATCAACTGAAAATGTGCATAGCAGAAAAAGGGATAAAGAATGAGGTGAAAGCAGAAGCTAAAAAAAACCCAGCAAAAGCAGAACAAAATAAAGAGCCAGAGTAGGCAAGAAGTCAGCAGGGCTATACTCACGTCTGCTTCCAAAAGGAATCTGAGTGACTTAGGAGTTTGGGTCATATGAAATAAAACTTAGTGGTGCCTATATTCATTTTTAGATAGATCCAGAAAGAGATTTTGGCACCCAACAGCAATACACAGGCACCACTGAGATTCCCACAACCCCTGCTCAGCTTCTGCCCGACTCTGTAGGCACCCAAGTTTTCACCAGTAAAGTCTCTTATGTGTCTAAGTTTCTGTGGATAAGTGTGGCACACAATCACCTCAGTCCTGATGCTTCTAAGCTGCTTGATGCTTAAGTCTTGACTGACTGGTTTTTGTGTTTATTTTAGGGAATCAGACACCCATAAACCTAGTTCAATTACTTGGGGGGTGAGATGAAATCTGGAGTACAGGGGGATTTGTAAGAGTTCGTTAGAGAATTATTGGTTCTTTTACATTGAAAAACTCATTCAGTTGGCTTGCTTGAATGTGTTATAAACATAAAGCTGATGAAAAAATCATAGCCAAAGGGTAGGGATATGGAAGAGTGTTGATAGTTGAAGGACTTCAGGGGTGGTTGCACCTCCTTCAATTCCTCCTCCAATCCTGCCATCTATGGGAACTGAGGCCCTAATCCTGCAGAAACCAAGCTGCCTGGCCCTTCTTCCCAAGCCCAGCAAGCAATCAACAGCACCTGCCAAGTCAACTAAGGACCTGTTTCTGCTGGAGCTGAGCTGCCCAGCCCTTCTCCTCAAGTGCATGGGTAGCCACCAGGTCTGGCCATGTCCTACCAGTTCGAGTCAAAGGCCTGATCCACACTGCACCCCTCCTTTTCAACATCCTAGATCCATTGTTGGAGAGCTTTAATGAGAAGTCCAGGCATCAGCATTAGTGCCACCCTTATTTAGTACCCTCACTAATCGTGTGGAAGAAACGGCCATCAGAATACTGAAGAAATTCACATATGATATTATGAATTATTAAGGAGAAAGCATGAAAAATATTACAACAGATAAAATATACAAAGGAACCAAGAGAGACCAAAAATCTGGGAAGAAAAAAAAAACAGCTAATCCAGACGAGGAAAAATAATCCAAAGCACAAATATGAAAGAGCTAGAGAAGGGAGAGATGCTTCGTTTCCCAGAGTGCTGTCCAACATCTTGGGAGTCATCTGTTCAATTCCCTGCTCTTCAAATGATATTTATGTGCCTAAAAATGAAAGGTAAGTGGCTATGAGAGTCTTCAGAAGAGCCTAGGTTCGTAACTCCCATAGATTCTGAAGATTCTACTAGATGCCCTTCTGCATCTTTAGGCACTTAAGTATCTGTAAAAATAGGGATTGTTGCCACTCTCTGGCTCAGCACTGTGTCTTCTTTCCTGGCAAAGCAAGTTCGTAAGTGCTTATAGAACATGTCAAATACCAATGAGAGAAGAGCTACTTAATGCAGTGCTCTAGGTCCACGGTATGCCTAGTATATTAGGAGATACTTGTCAAGAACTAATACAAGGCAATGCCTCAAGCCCTTGCCATTTTGTGGGAAATATCTGGTACTTATGGCTAAGGAATCAGAAATAGTTCAGGTGGTACATCACAGATGTAAAAACCTGGCTCTCCTCAAATTGATGGAAAAATAAATTCCCATTGATTTCCCCTGAATCTCAATTTCGCCTTCTGGATTGAACTGACCCTAGCATACAGGTGCATCCTTATAAAAGTTATGGGAGCAGTGCTTGCTAATTTTGGCCTGATGACCTTTTATTTCCTAGTAACTGCAAATTCATCAAATTCCTCCCCCTATTCTTAATGATGTCAAGGTTTTACAGCTTCCTAGTTAAGTCTCATTTTATCAAACGCACCTTCAAAGAAGCCATCCTCATCCATGTCCCCATAGATGTAAATATACTCTCCAGCAGTCAGAGGGAGCTCTGCCTCCGGGTTTTCATTAGGTCCATCAAAAGGATTATAGCTGAAAGAGTTGCAACCATAGTGTTTATTTTGCATACCAACTTCCTCATCAAAACATCCAAGCAGTCACACTAGACCTGTACACTGGTCCACTGAGGCTGGTCTCCTGCTTCTAGACATGTCTCAGAGGAATACCAAAGTCATTGCTCATGTTTAATGCTAAATCTCTAATGTGGGTTGTTGGAATCGAATCTATGTTCACTTTCACAAGGGAACAGATGTTTTAGTGAAAGTCTGAGTGAAGTGATTGGAAACACAAGCATTCAGAAACCAATTTTTGAAAACCTTATGCAAGTATGTAACATTTTTCTGAATTATAATTTAAAATACTAAAAATGGGGGATTTTTAACTGAACTTTGGTCTCAAAGTTGTTGGGTTTTTTTCCAATTGTTTATTGAATCCATTAAATAATAAAAATGTTAGCCCAAGCCAAAAATTTTGTTGCAAAAATTGGAAGTTTCAAGGTTTGGACTAATAATTTTCCAATTTTCAATTTTTCAGGGGGTTTCTTTTTTAAATAAAAACTTGAAATTTTTACAGAATGCAAGAATTTTCGCAATTAAAAAAAAAAGAGCCGCAATCTTTAAAAGTTTTTCAAAAGGAAATTTTTACTCCATGTTCCTGACTCAGCAAGCCATGCTTGCAATGGTGCTTGTGTGCATCTGGAAGCATTATTTCTATCTGTGCATTTACTAAAGGCCATAGGAATCCCTAAAACTGATCAGGCCCATGATCCAACTAGCCTAGTATCTCATCTCCGACAGCGGGTGGTGTTGGATGCACAGAGAAAGATCAGAATAGACAGTTTTGGAATAACCTGCCCCAAAATTGAAGACTATGCCAAACATCCTACGATCCTTCAAATTCTGCTTAAATCCCCTAGACCAGTGCTTCTCAAAGTGGTGGTCTGCGGACCGGTGTCAGTCCAGGAACCACCGGTCGCCGGTCCGCAGCGAGTTGCCAGGAAAGAAAGAAATATATTTTCAGAAGCATAACATTGATATGTCATAGCGCCACAGTTCGTACGTTCCAACACTCCAGGTGATGTCACGCTGTGCGAGGTGAGGAAAGAGAAAGAAACAGCCGGTCACGCATTTGTGTGGCACTGTTGCACGCAGTTGCTGCTACCGGCTGAACTGGGCACCGGTCCCTGGCCCACTGGAAAAAAATTTGCTGGTCTGCCACATCAAATGGTTTGAAAAGCACTGCCCTAGACAACATTAAGGACATTAGAATCAGAAAAACAGAGCTGGAAGGGACACCTAGAGGTCATCTAGTCCAACCCTCTGCCTGAAACAGGATTATCCCTGTCCAAACCATCATATATAAAATTCTTGTTTAACCTGTTAGTAAATCAACACAGTCAACCCTGACACAAGGCATAATACCCTCACCTGCCATGGATAAAGCAGCGGGACAATGATGGTCAGTGCCCTGCTCCTGCAAGGGTTAAAATGCACTCAAGAGATCCAAGGAATAGAGCCCCCCCCCACTATGGAGGAAGGCTAAAACCCCCATACTCCATACCAATCTGACCATGGGGTAAAATTCTTTCCTGATGCCAAATATGGCAATTGGTCTGCCCCTGAGCGTTGTGCGTCGTGCAGTACCTGTATCGAGCTAAGAAGACCTGGAGTTTTGCGGGGCCTTGGTTCCCTGGCTCTGGAATTAGAGAGACGCTATCGACATCCAGTTCTTCCATTTCGCTTGCAGTGTCCACCTACCAAACAGACAAGAATAGGGATCAGGGTTGGCTATGACTGATCAAAGGAATAGAACAGCAGTGCAGCAAGTGAAATCCTATTCTCAGCTGGTGCAAAGCTGCCTGATTGCATCAGATCACTATATTGTATGTGGTAACAGAAAATGGTTTATCCTATCTGTGAAAATTGTTCTATTAAGGAAAGAAGAGTGGGGACAGACATGTGCTTATCTCCAGGACTTCAAAATTTACCAGGCACCTAGGCCCAAATTCTATTCCACCTCTAAGGTGTCTAAGTCACTGGAATTTCCTTATCAGTTATCACTGACTTTGACAATGTCTTGGAGACCGGAACAACTGCTAGGGGAACCCCTCCCTGCTCCTGGTGTTTGTGAGAGCAGTCATTTCAGCTGTTAGGTGATGGATGGGCTCATTGCTCTGCTCATTCAGCAGCCAATACATCTTACTTCTTTAGCCGATTAAGGGTCTGTAGCATTTATTTTTAATCCTTCAAGCAGCTCTGTAGATTTTGATGCCATATTACAATAGGAAGGAAGTGCAATTTTTCCCTGTGCCAATTCAGCAGCTAAACAGAATAAGGATTTTGGGTCAGCTATGATATTTTTACTTTACCAGTGTCTTGTCAAGACACACTGCAAAGCCTAACTTGAAACCAGTTCAGGTTGGTATTTAGAGCGAACTCTGCTTTCTCTGATGCAAATACAATTTTTAAATGTAGATCCATTGTATGTACCAGGAAATTCCATGCACTCCTCTAAGTACTTCAGCTGCCTCAGTTAATCTTTGACAGAGTTCAGTGGCATCTTTTTCAGAATAGTACATTCACAGGGTTTATCTTGGAGCAATGTGAGATACCCTGCAAGCTTTAATTCTGACCTAACTGCATGGATCATACCAGCTATGATCTCTAGCTCTAGACAGCCCTGTTTTCAATGCAGTGTTCCAGATGCCTAAAATTTAGCCTGTCCTTCAGGGTGGGATCTGCCAAGTCCACACTGCCATTTCAGAATCTTTCAGGTGTCCTGGATTTTCTTTTTGATTTCAAATTCAATAGTCTGCATTGTATTCAATGTGCAACTGATTTCTGTGCTGAAAGCTCTGAAAAAAAGTGAGGCTTGTGGATCTAACTTTGCTGAGAAAGTACGGGTTCTGCTCTGTGACAAAATTAAATGCCATCTGATGCACAACGTCCCTTCCTGTGAAACACACATTAATGCAAGTGTACATTCCCTGGGGTGTTCAGAGGTACAACTAAGACTAGCTAATTGGCAAGGGGAAAAAAGTCCCCTCATCTTAAAATCACGCACAACAAAAACTCACTAAATACATTGTCTATCATTAAACTGCTACCAAAAGCAGCACGTGCTCAGCAATGGAAACCAACTATGAAGTTGACTACGTGCAGCCAACACTGAGCATGACTATAAAACACATGGCCCACACTGGGAAATATGCTGATGGGAACCTACCACAAAAATAAGTTAGTGCAGTCCATCTGAATAAGACACATGGTAGTGCCCATTAAGCGCAGTCCTCCCCACTGATGACTCTTTTTCCAGTTGTTCCACGACACTGCATACAGCTCCACCCAGAATCCCTGTTGGCCCATCTCTCAACCTGGCACATATGATTAGTATAGCCCCACCCTCCATGAGGTGAAGCTGAATCACGTTGTCCTGCAACTCATCTGCATATACATTTTTGGAGCATCCCAGGACTTAGAACCAGGACCAGGTGTTCTTGTTAAGTCAAAAGTGGGGTCTAATTAAGACATGGCTCCTTTGTGGGGGGTATCTGAAGTACACGCACATACTGAGCAATGAGGTACCATGGCTTGAAATGCTGTTGACACTGCTGTGGCCCAGCCCAATGATGTATGTGTCAAATCACGAGCCTTTGGCTTTGGACCAATATCATGCGTAGTTTGTAACATATAGCCCACCGAGCCCTGCCAGTGAGGGCCCAGAGGCATAGAGAGGGTCAGCTGGGGAGACTCAACTGCCATTGGGCAACCAAGACGATCGACCACCTTCTCTGGCTCTGCACCGGAGCCAAGGAGGTACGGAACAGGGTGAAGCAGCTCTGCAGTGTCAACCAGCTAACCAGAGAAGCGGTGCTGTACGGACACCTCGCCAAACACCAAGAGAACTCATCGACCCATTTTGACCAGTTTGCATCTTGGGTCAGGAGCATCCTATGGAAAGCCAGGAACCTCCTGTTGTACAGGCACATGGATGTAGAGGTGGTAGGCTGTATGAAAATGGCTTTGAGCAAACTCCAGACCTACTACCAGAAATCGGTAGTGGAGGATGGAGAGGACATGGCCAAAGCCACCTGGCACAGAGACACGTAGCACGGGATCTTCCAAATTCCCCCTAGTGAGGAAGAGGAAGAGACAAATGGAGCCAAGGACGGCAATAGCGACAGCAGCAGTGGGTCCTCTAGCAGGAGCTAGAGCAACAGCGACATGGACAACAGGTGAACTGAGTCTGTGACCCCGCAAGTGGGGTGGGGATGAAAGGAAGGGGTTGCCTGGTCTGGTTGGTGTGTGTGTGTAACACATGGGGCAGATATTGTAACAGGTGCAGGTGGCCAGCAGACCTTTGCACGGGTGCACAGGCATGGTTTTTGTAACAGGTTATGGTTTTCTTTGTGGAGTGGTCAGGAACTCTAGGAGGAAAAGAAAAGAAAAAGAAAAGAAAAAGGGAAATACTCACCTGCAGAGGGAACCGCGGCGAAGTCGGAGCCCGAGGAGGGACCTGCGCAGCTCATTAGCCGCACCTTTATACAGTTGCAGACAGTGGATGATGTCAGACGCAACCACCGGCCGGCAGAAATAAAGCAGGCTGCTGGCAAGGAGGAGGGGAGACGAGCGTCGCTGGCGAGGGCACCGGCAGGAGAGGGCTCGTCGCCGGCGAGGGCACCAGGAGAGGGCTTCCCCGAGCTCAGGCAGAGGCAAAAAGAGCCGGGAACAGCTTCTCCCAGCAGGGGAGGACGCCGCAGAGCACGCAGAGGGACAGATGCTGCTGGCGGCAGTGAAGGGGGCCAGGAGCCAGAGACGGCCCCTCGAGACTGGGAACCTGGACAAAAGAGCAGATGGGAGCAGGAAGATCTCCTCACCAATAGTCTCAGCAGGACAGCAGGAGAGACCAATGCATCTCAAAACACCAGACCAGGTGGGACTGTTGAGGGCCCTGGAAGAGCTGATGAGGAGCACCAAGGGGGAGCCGGGAGGCAAAAGCAGCAAGAGGGGCTGCAAAGTATGGCCCTCGGGGGCATCGAGCTGCCCCAGCGGGCAGCACGGGGGAAGATACCCACCGGAGGACCATAGCAGGTCCAGCAAAGCCTGAGGCTGGGCGACGAGGGAGAAGAAGAGGGGACTAGCCCCCAGGCTACCAAGGCTGCACATAGGGCCAAACTTGGACCACGAGGATCAGAAGGTGGGCACTGGTGATAGGGTCCAGGGAGCCAGGGAAAAGGGGTGGCTAGGCTCTTTAGTGTGTTTTCAGTGATTTTAGTTTGCATTCCTTTTTGTTACCCACTGTTGGAGGGGTTGAGAGGTAGGGCAGGTGGAGCCCGATTGCTGTTTAATTCTCAAGAGGGTGGTAGCCTTAGAGAAGGGAAGACTGCCTCGAAGCACGGGGAAGGTCTTGAGGGCTGGTAACACAGGACCCACATGGCAAACATAGTCAGGGGCTCAACAGTCAGGGATCTGGACAGGAGGACATCTGTGACCCACCTAGGCTGGGTATAAGGGCGAGGTAGAGGGGAGGTGGAGCCTTGCAGAAGACCACCAGACAGGCATCCCACCGTCAAGAGACTCTCTCAGTGGGTGGACAGCCCCACTGAAGCAAGATTTAAAGTCGTGGCAGGCGAGATTGGGGAGGGGGGGGGAAGACTACACAGGAGGTAAAAACTTCGACTTAATGGAACACCAGGGACGAACGGGTAAACCTCATTGTACATACGGGCCAGAGCAGCACGTGACAGGATGTTCAAGGCCAGACGGTCACACTCATGTATACAGATATTTATTTTTACAAAAACAAAAAAGTAACATATAAGTAGGTGTCAAAGTGCTGCTCAAAAGTGTGTTTATGGAGTATTTGTGCTAAAAACTTGCAGCAGTTTAAAAAAAAAAAAAAAGGTAACATGCATTCATTCTGGATAAACTAGGTGCATGGGTAGTATATGATATGCAAATCACTAAAGCCATGTTTAATTTCAAGTTTATTGTTTTCAGATTTGCTGCTCACTTCCACGTAGTCAGGGAGAGCAGGGTCTGACAATAAGAAGAGTAGGAAGGGGCTGCCAGGGGAAAAAGTTGAAGGGAGGCAGAAAGCAAAGACCTACCTGACCCCCCCCTCTCCCAGATTTATTTTCCCTGCTGTAGCAGTGAGAAGGGAACAAATATATATGTTTTCCATGTATAAGATTTAATTAGGGGGGGGGGGTGTCTTATAATCAGGATCATCATGTTTTTGAGTAAATATGGTATTATCACTTTTCATTCCTATTCTAAGGCTAGTCACTTCTCTCTTAGACTAGGAAAAGGTTAACATCCCACAAACAGGAGAAAGTAAAAGATGGGTTCTGCCCTAGAGACCTGCCCCTTACAGGGAGAATCCTCCAAAGCTCTGGGCATCAATGCAAAGAACTGGACCTCTCCCTGTCCGGCACTGGCTGGAGAGAAATCCAGCTTGTGTTGTTACGTAAAGATGGCTCAGGAGCCCACAGTTCCTCATGGGCGTAGGGTGCTTGGGCTAGGAAATCCATGTGTGGGTGTGTGCACCTTAAATCATCAGGGTGTTCTGCCCTGTTCCATTTGCTCACTGGCCTTAATCAGCATGGCTGCACTTCTCTGGCTCCTACCTGCTTTAGGACTTCCTGGGAATGTGACTGGTTGGAGTGGGAAAGCCCCTGGGTAACTGAGTAGGCCAGTCTTGACAATCCTGGCTTCAAAAGTCTAGAACTTTAACACTCTTCTGTGAAAAAGATGTGATGTCTGATAGTCTGAGGAAAATCAGGTCAGCTCTTCCTGAATCTAAGGGCAGTGAAACAAGACAAGTGTATTTGATACACTGCTCCCACCACAGAACACAAATGCTTGCAATGTTTTGCTTTGAACAGCAAATGAACCAAGGCTCAACATCTGTAATTTGGCAAGAAAACAAACACCCCTCACTAAGTTTTCCATGAACTCCTCTAGCATGAGAACTGCCAATTTACAATCTCTTGTAAACCAGGACAGCTCTCAACCCCTGAAACATGAAGCTCCTTCTCTTCTTTGCTTTGTAATCCACCTTTTACTGTACAGGATATGTTACACAAAAGTCACAGAACACCAAAATTAACGTACAATGGATGTCTTTAAGTGCCAACCCCTTTGTGCATATACAACATTATGGCACAGTCTGTAATTATACAATCTGAGAATTTCTCCAACATTACAACCTGTCATACCAATCTCATCTGCAGGCTTAGATCTACATGTATGCCACATTTTTCTAGTGTGTGCATGTCAAAGAGTACCTAAATGTAGCTGCTAAGTCTCACAATTTTATCACAAGGTTTACAATATTTGATGTTCTTAAAGTTCCAGGTCTTGGAGTCATAGGATGTCAAGAAAATCCAGCTTTCCTTGAAAAAAGTAACTTTTTACTCTAGAATTAGAGAGCAAAGCTTGACAAAATGAAAGGAGGACAACCTAAGGTCTCCAAAAACTGCAGGCAAAAAAAGATTTCTGAGTGCTATTTATTCTGCACTGATATAAAAATAGGAAAGACTTCCTTGAGTAAATTACTACAGAAGAACTATAACATAGAAGTAAAGAAAACTTTATGGAGCAAAATTAGAGCAAAATTTGCCTACTATATGTCCAAGCCTGAGCCAAATCCTATTTTGTCGCCAAGATGTAAAAATAGTATTTAATATCACTTCCACAGAATTTACAACAGATTCCACTCTATAAGACTAGGCTTGGCCAACTGTATATGCTCAAAATGGTTCCACTACAGCTACTAAGCCATCTAACTCTGAGTCTGCCTGCTACAGCATATTCACTCTGTGTAAGCCTCCAAAACTTCATTCAAAGAAATGCTCTGATGGAAGAGAACCCATCTACCTTTTCAGTTCTCTGATTGGGTCTCTTGCCCAGGAAGCAAGAGGCTCAGGTTCCAACTCCCTTTCTGAGGGAGTCTGCACCTACAATTCACACTTGCTCTGCAAAGTAGCCAAACCAGCATGCCATGGGCTAGGGAAGCCTACAAAAACTATCCTCTTGAAGCTGGCTTGGTGGGCAGCCAAGAAGGAAAGATACGTAGAAGCAGACAGAAAGCACATAAAGAGAAGCCAGTCTCTGTGGCTGGGTTAGGCACTGGACTGGAAAAAAAGAGCAAGCCATGGATTTTATGCCCTGTTCCTGCTCCCAGTGCTATTTCTGCGTTTTGTATTGAATGCAGTATAACCTCAGAAATCTATTTTTCAAAATTCCAGAATTCTCAAAAATCTGGCACTTCAAAAATATATACTACATCAGGAGTTTTCAACCTTTTTTGACCAGTGTACCCCAGCGGCCGGTCACGTGGGCGGCAGGGGAGGAGTAGTAGCAGCAGCACGGGGTGGTGGATGGCAGCAGCAGCCACCGTGTGCAAGCTTCCTTCCCTGCATCCAGCCGGCCGGGCAGCGCCAGACTACGCACTTTTCTTATATTTCAAAAACCCAGGATTTTCAAATTTCCAGCAGGTGCTAGGTCCCAAGGATGCCAGATTTATGAGGTTATACTGTATTCCTAGATCTCTCCACAGGCACTTCAAAGCTCTTGGTCTATGATGTTCCTGAGAGCAGCTGCTAGGGATATCCCAGAGCAGCTTCACCACCACATTTCCAGACCTGGTATGTGTGAAGGGGAGAAGATGGGTAGGGAATGCTCATAGTCCCAGCAATGGTGGGGATGCAGCATACACAAACCCACTGAACCCAGCAAAGTACATAGAATCCATAGTCACTGTTCATTCAAAAGCATGACCAGGGGAGTTACTACTGTCTTCTGCATAGTAGAGTAGCATTTTACACACTTGACCAGAAAGTGGAAGACCTGAGTGGGAGGCTCTCCTCAGCCACAGCCCAAGAGAGTGCTCTAAATACTAAGCTGCAGCAGATCCTGAAGAGAAGTGCTCTCCACAACCTCTTGCTGAAGAAGCTGGACAGCCAACACTACAAGAGTTGAGGAGCCAGAGAGGGTGAGAGCAAACGAAAGATAGTCAGGGCTCTGTCCCAGAAACAAAATAAATGCACAAAAAAACTCCCCATGGAACTCAAAAAACTGATATACCATTTCACAGAGCTCTTCTCTGGCTGTTTTCTTTTCAGAGTGCAATGATCTGCACCAGTGACGACACATAGGGGGTGCACATGCACCCCCGAGAGCGCCAGTGTACCCCGAGACTGGCCGCGGTTGTCGCTTAGGCAACGGGCAGGGGGGGCAGGCAGGAGCGCCGGTCCCCCCCCACCGCAAGCACCAACCACCTCAGTCAGTGGGACTGTCTGCAGGGGGACTCCCCCCAGTCAGCAAGATCGGCCAGGGGGGAACCCCCCTGGTCCCCCACTCACTGACTGGTCACCCAGGGGCCACATGGCCCCCCTGACTAAGGCAGCACCAGTCGCCCATAATCTGCACAAAAGCCCACCACATAGTATGGCCAAGTGAAGAAAGTGCAAACTTCTGCAACAACTTTCTGCAAGTTTTCTTCATTGATTTCTCTAGTTCTTGGATACAGGTTTTAACAGGCAGTCATAAGTGTAGCAATGCAGTACTAGTATATATGATACCACTACTGTCTTACCCTCCAGTGGCTAATAAATAGGGACACCAGAAGCAACAGCCAACACTGACCTCTGGAGTGGGGCAGGACTTCGGACTGTTCTGCACCGATTCTGATTTTGAAGAGCTTGATTGGGACTCCATTTTCTTGGCCGGCTTCTGTGAGGCACCAGCACTTGGGAGTGGAGTTTTGGTGACGCTAGGTGCGGGGTCAGAGACCTGAGGTAACGGCTCCAACTCCCCAGTCCCTTCATCATTCGTTGTCTTAGTGCACTGAAGAACAGGAGATGCAGGGGCAACATCAGGATCTGAAACCAAGCATTTCACTGGTTACTCCAAGCAGAAGGAAGAGCAAACGATAGCAGCTGTGAGCACTCTGCTGTCTTTAGCATAGTCAGCCTATCTTGAGGGGAGCTGTCCAGAGACACAGTTAACAGGACCATAGGAAAGTAGGGCTGAAAGGGGCCTCACAGGGGCCTCTGCAAATTACAAGTTGTGAAGGGGATCTCAGCCCTGATCCTTCTCACACCTCACACTTTTGTCACTCAGGGGCAGCCCCACTGAAGTCACGGGATGAAACTAGTCTAAGCGAGGGAGAATGAAATCTTCAGTCCTACATGCTACCATAGGACAGATCCTATCTGCATAGGAGTTGGGAAAGCTTCTAGGCTTCATTATGACTGCCTGGTCCTGTGGACTTTTCTGCCCCAGCACTAAGGGTGAAATAACTTATACCCTCACAGTCCCAAGGTAACCACACGCCAGTCAAAAACTGGTGAAGTATAAGTGCATGCCATCCCATACCCAATGTCTATGTCAAGGAGGGAAATGGGGGCAGTTGGATCAGGAGCTGACTATGTTGGCTTTACACTGATTGATCAGGGTCCCCTCTCCCCTCGCTGGAGGAATTCTCAGCTTTCTTGTTACAGTCATATGCTCATTAATTTGTCCCACCTGAAGAAACAAAGAAGCTGGGCTGGGAAAAGAATCTGGCCTAGAGCCTCTATTATACTATGGAGCTCAGCTGAGCAACGCCTTCTCATGCCCTAGAGGGAAGCACTCAAGTCAATGCATATTGATCCCTCACTCTCAAGTAACATATTGTTCAAACAGCTACAGACAAGTTTTCAAGTAATATGGTAGAGTATTATATAATCACTTTCTACAGTTTCATTTACACTAATGCTTTATGATGTACCCTTTCATGGTCAAATGTGTTAAATATCTCTTAAAGACTCAGAATCTACCATAACTTATCAGTTGGTTTTAACAACTAAAATGTTAAATATATGTAGTTCCAAAACATAACAGATCTCAGACAATTGTTCATAGGGTTTTTCAAGAAAGGCATAAGAAAGATTTAAAAAACTGCCAGTATTTGTCCCAAATGTTTCTATTTTCCAGGGGGATACAGGGAAATCTACAGCCAGGAAAGCCAACAGACAATGTATTCACGATCAAAACACCTATCAGCATTTCCAGTAATTACCCTTCTCCCAATGACCACCCTGTGGCTGCGGGGTGGAAGAACAGGGAGCAAGTGGAAGATCACAAGTCACCAACGTGGAGGTGAGAAGGTCAATCTTTCCTGTTTGTAGTCGGAAGTGTTTGAGTTCCTGAGACAGGAGACTGAACTGCTCTGTTTGGCTGCGGCACTGATCCTCAAGGTCTCTCACCCGGGCCTGACAAGGAAAAGTAAAGGCAGAGTAAGGCACAAGAACAGCCCTAAATTGGCAACAGACCTCCGAATGACAGTTACCTTTGTTGGGTCCTTCCACACAATGGAGCCCCAGAAGGGGCCTAACAAATTGAGCTGCCCAGGGATGGTCCATACAGGTCAGCAGCCCCCTGTCAGTCAGCCCTCTGAAAATCCCACCCTCGCTAGCAAGCTTGGGAAACATTCAGCTCTAAAACACACTGATCCAATACTCGAAATCCACATTACAGGAAATGACTGCCTGGGGATAGGGAGATGCAAGTCAAACCAAGGCTTTGATATGGGGCACTTGGGGATGGAGTGTGGATTTTCACTGTTGTTTCAAACATCAATGTCTGATCTCCAAAAGGGACTGATCTATTAACTCTCCATCCACCCAGCCACACAAAAGGGATCCAGGGAGTCCCTGTGTGATCCCAGGACTCCAACAACCCTCAGTGTCATCCTCCTGGCTTTTGTCCCTCTGACAAGAGACTCTAGACAGCCCCAGAGCAGCAAGGACAATGAGGGACAGCATTGCATCAGGCACAGGAAAGGTGGGAAGTAACTGTTAGCAGAGGAACCTTTGAGGACATCTAGGGGTTCACTTGCAGGGAAGTGAAGGGCTTGTTTACGCTAGGAAATGAGTGTGAATGTTCATAACCTCAGCATTTCCACCCCCGCCTCCAACTTTCCCCTCCAAAATAGAAATAACACTGCACTCCTTTGGCCTCTGAACCTAGAGATCCCACACACCTGTCTTCTCCCGAGATGTGGGCACACACATTCCTAATGGGTCACTGTTTGGCTGATCTCCCCATGCTGAGTTCTCACCAGAACAGGAGAAACCAAGGCTCACAGTTCATCAGTATTCTAGGTACTCAGGCTCCCCAACCCCTTCCAATAAGCAGGGGAGACTGCCAGCCTGGCACTATAGCATTGTAAACATTGCCAAAAAGATGCCAGCCAGCTTTATTCCAGATCAGGTTTTTCAATGTTGTTCCTAGTTTCCACTGCTAATCATTAATGGCTCTGACTACTCTTCACTCTTCAATATCCAATGAGAGCAGGTTCTGTTCATTAGCTATGGACCTCTATCCAATCCTAAATTATTCCATCTACTCCCCTTTGCCTCCAGGATTCCCAATAGTTCTACAATATTAGTATCATAGTTTAATAGGCCTCAATTACATAATGAAAAAACTTGCTGTTCTCAATGTGGCAAACCCCACTGAATCAAAACCTTGAAAAATCATGAGAATGGCTTAAAATCATGACTTTTAAACTAGAAACTGGTTGCATTTTTTGTATTTTTTCTACTTTCTGAGGCTGTAAGTTCATTTAAGTTATATTTTCCAGTTTTTCTCTGCAGCCATGAGAGCTAGAAATTGCCTTTAAAAAAAAAAAGCTAAGAATCTTCATTTAAATGTTGTTCTCTTAAGAACTAGTCTTAAGTAAGACAGCAAATATAAAGTACATGCCAAGAACCAAGAGAAAGAACAACACTTCTCATCCCTTTTTCACATTTTATATTATTTTAATCTCACACTTAAGAGAATAGCTTCAAAAACCTCAAACAAATTGTTAGATGCACATGAATTAGAGGTACAGAGAGTTTGGAATAGGTCTGATAATCTCAATAAAGCTCCCAAAATCCCATTTGGTTAGATTTTGTTGTTGCTGCTGCTGCTTTGGAAAGAGAAAAGGTTTTTAAATAAGAAGTGCCCTGCTCTGCCGAAGCAGCAGTGGTAGCACCTATAATTACTAGTTTTGTTTTTGGGAGATGACATCATGCAAGGCATGATAGAAGTTTAGTTTAAATATATGCATGAGGCAGTAAATTAAGGTTAAACTGCAGGAGGAGGATGCCCTGCTTGGTAAGATCGTATCAGTACCTGCATGCAATCCAAAGTATTCTGTCAGCAAAGAAAAGAACAGAAAAACATTTAAAACCGTACAAGCAAAAATATCAAGAAACAGCAAAGCATAACAAATTCCTCAATTTGGGTAAAATTATTGTCTCCATTAGTCTGCAGCATGTACCAGGTTCCTTTCTGACAACTCCTAAATACATATCAACTTCCACAGGCTAAAACATGAAAGAAGCTGCTATATAAACCCTGCCACAAAAACACACTCTCTGAATCATGAAGTGTTTTACGGTAATAGCTTCTAGTCTTATGTCTCAAATTCATTTCTCCCAGTCACAGAGTTTTAAGGCTCACTATTGGTTTTAAATACTCTCACCTAAATTTTCTCCTGAAAAAGAGCTCTGCTCTGCTGGATATGAAAACTATGAAAGTTTCGACAGCGTCTCTTGCATAAAAATGCAAGACAATGGCTGGGGCAAGACTGGGTTGTGGTAACAAGACGGCCACAAGAAAATTAAACTCCGCTAATGTTTGCAACCCATTAGGTGTCAAGACAGTGAAGCATGAGGTACCCAATACCAGACCCATGCCATAAAATAACAGAAGTGATGGTTAAAACTGTTGGCAGAAACCTGACACTCATCATATATGAATCTCCAAGCTAAGAAAGCGAGAGAAATAGGTTAAGCCAGTGTAACTAGAAGAAGGCAAGGAAACTACATGTATACTTTAACTGAACTAGCAACTAAAGAAGTCAAAAGACTGAATATGTATCTCAAGGAAAACCTGTAGAAGGTGCAGGTACAGGAAAAATGTCCTGTACGTGACATCCTCACATTTCTCAAAACAGGCATCCAATGTCTAAGGTGTATGTCTGGAGCTTTTTAAATGGACCATCACCGGTACAAGCTATTACAAGTTTGCCCCACTGATAAACAAATACCCAAAGACAGGTCCAGTAACCAATACCTCTAAGTATCCTGTTTGACTACTCCAGGCCCATCACATGTAATTGAACTTTAACTGCAGGGGCTGCGCGAAAAACACAAGTCTTCACACCTAGACAAGCCCTAAAACAGGAGCCAGGTGATTTGAGAATTGTAAAATGATGGTCACCCTTTTCCTCCCTGTTTTGTTCAAACTTTAATCAGCCAACCATCAAGGAAAAATGTTTTGAAGCTATACAGTTAAACAGTATAAGAACTAAGCAGATTGGCCAGCAAAGTGTGTGCAGTCCAGGGAAGACCAAGAAGCCATCCTGCCACCCAGCTGATAAGTGAAGGATCCACGCTGTGAGGCTGTACAAGAACTGCTTCCTGCCTGCATTGGGTAAAGATCTGTTTGCAGCTAAGATAATACAAGGACTAATAGCTCATTTTATATTGGGACAGAGTCTTTCTGTAATTCAGTTTTGTAGCTTGTTGGTAGTTATTAAAGTAAGCCTTGCTGCTATTCATCAACCGAGTGTTGTGTCAATTCTTAGAGCACTAGGTTTAAAAACCTGTTTTTAAGTGCAATGTGCTCAGCACCAGAGAAAGTAAGACTTCTAGGTTTGTTGCCTGCACTTCCGCCAGTGGCAGTGATTGGCTGCTGGGGGACCCCCCTCCCGGTCAGCAATTGGCCACTGGTGCCACCCCAGTATCACGAGGCACCATTCACCCATGCCTTCACAAATAACACTCCCACACTTCAAAAATAGCATCTCATGATTTACATTCTAAATCTCTTGATTTTTTAAGAGTTTGTCTCTGGTTTTTGACATGGTGGGGTTGGCAATACCAATTCCCCTACTAAGTCTAGAAGGGTATAGCACCTCTCCTAACCCTGGTTACTGTATCTCAAAGTTCAGGGGTTGCTACTAAATCAGGTGTGAGAGTAGTGGTTCATTGTTATACTCAGATTCCAAGTCAAAGAGCAGACACCAAGTTATGAATGTGAAAGCCTCCCAAATCTAGTAATCAAACTCTTAGGCTCAGGCACCTTGAAACCTCCCAGACATCAATCACTGAGGCATCTCAGAATGAAAACTCAAGTTAGCACAACAAAAGGAAACAGGCAACAGTGGGTGGTGTGCTACTCTCAGTATTCAAACCCAGTCAGCTTTGAGATAGTGACTAGGTGAGGAAAATGGCAACGGCCCTGAAAAGGAACTAAGCTGGTTTGAATGCTTCTTGGACAGGCATATCCAAAGGGTAGTAAAGAGAACCTGCACCTTCACCCCATGCAGATTCCCATAAGAATCAGTGCTCTCTCTGTTCCAATTCAGCATTAATACGCACCCCCTAGCAGAACTGGTGAGACATCACACGGTCAAATAACAGTAAGATAGAGATGAGACAGTTCTATATATCACTCTTTCAAAGAGAGAGAAATGCCACTGATACTAACTACCCCTATACTGAACCAGCTTACAGGTGAATGAGGGCTGATTAAAGCTGCTGGCTGGCTGAGGAAAACCTTGTGAAGATCTGCAGCTATGGGCCTGTCCGACTGTCAGACACATAAGTAGAGCTCTTGAACTCATGTCACAGCTCCTCCTGGACCCCTGGTTAACACCAAACTCTAACAAAACAGCAGGCACCATACATGTATTCTGCCATTTCTAACTGTGTCCCACTGTTAAAAGATAATACTCAGCCTTGACAATTCACACCTCTATGGGATTTCAGCTGCCTTACACTGAAGTCATTTCCTTCAGCTTGGAAACTTCAGCTCTGAGACAACAATAACTGAGGGAACAAGCAGTGGCTCACTCCCTTGGTATCAAACCCTCACTGCATCAGCTTCCCCTACAGTTTCAAATAAAGAATCAAGTGTCAATCCTTCGTTGTGGATCTAATGAGTTAGGACAGGATTTTGTAAAGGTTACCTCCTGGAAGCAAGACTGTTAATCACTTCTCTTTAGTGGCACAATGGAGCCATCCACAAGGGGAAAGCCTGTTTGAGCAAGCATCCGAGTATTGCTAGGAAGAGATCCACCTGACAAAGAGAGGGAAGAGCATCTTTTCAGACAGGCTTGCTAACCTAGTGAGGAGAGCTTTAAACTAGGTTCACCAGGGCAATGAAGACCAAAGCCCTGAGGTAAGTGGGTGACCCGGAGGAAATGCAAGCAAGAGTGGGCAGCAGGGGAGGCATTCTTATTTGTCCTGAGAAAGCAGGGCAATCAGCTCGTTACCTGAGGTGCCTGTACATGAACACACAGAGCCTGGAAAACAAGCAGAAAGAAGTGGAAGTCCTTGCACAGTCACAGAACAATGCTGTAATTGAATAACAGAGACTTGGTGGGAGCTCGCATGACTGGAGCAGTGTCATGGATGCGTACAAACTGTTCAGGCAGGGGAGAAGAGGAGGAGTTGCACTTCATATAAAAGAGCTGTTCGATTGCTCAGAGCTCCAGTATGAAACTGAGAATAGGCCTGATGAAAGTCTCTGGGTTAGGTTCAGAGGGGAGAGCAACAAGGGTAATGTCATGGTAGGGGTCTGGTATAGACCACCAGACCAGGAGGAAGTGGTGGATGAGGCTTTCTTCAGACAGCTAGTGGAAGTTTCCCAATCACAGGCCCTGGTTCTCATGGGGGACTTTGATCACCATGACATCTGATGGGAGGGCAATACAGCAGTGTGCAGGCAATCCAGGAAGTTTTTGGAGTAATGAGGACAACTTCCTAGTGCAAGTGCTGGAGCAGCCAGAGAGGGGCCATGATCTTCTTGACCTGCTGCTCACAAACAGGGAAGAATTGGTGGGGAACGTAGTCATGGATGGCAACGTTGGCAGCAGTGATGATGAAATGATTGAGCTCAGGATCCTGAGTAAAGGTAGGAAGGAGAGCAGCAGAGTAAAAACTCTGGAATTGAGAAAAGCAGACTTCAACTTACTCAGGGAACTGATAAGCAGGCCTCCCAGGGTCCTTTCCAATCATAACTTTCTATGATGTCACACATTCATTTTCTGCTCCACTGTAGTCCAGGGGCAGAGGAGCACTAGCATATGTCCAGTGTCATTTCCCCTTTGTTTTCTTCTCCTAAAAGGAGATCCTGGCCCCACTGAGGTTAATTGAAGTGTTATCATTGGTTTCAATAAGATCCAGATTTCAGCCCTTGTGACTTGCACTCTGCTAAGTGCACTATCAGAACTTATTATATTATACTAAATATAATAGTAATAGCAGTGCCAAAATGCTTGGTTCTGTTCGATGAACAGTGCTGCAGCCCATAAGCCTGCAAGGCTGTTTATCAAAGTACATGCAACTCCTGCAATCAGCCCTGAATTGAGCTTTTCTCTGCAGTCATGTCTAACCAACCTGATTATCTTCTATGATGAGATGACTAGCTTTATGGATGCAGGAAAAGCACTGGATGTGAGAGATCTTAACTTTAGCAAGGCTTTTGATACAGTCTACTACAATATTATTGCAAGCAAGCTAAGGGAGTATGGGTTGAATGGACTGTAAGGTGGATAGAAAACTAGCTCAAACATTGGGCTCAAAGGGTAGTAATTAACGGCTTGCTGTCTAGTTGTCAGCCAGTATCAAGTGGAGTGCCCCAGGGGTCAGTCCTGGGGCTGGTTTTGTTCCATAGCTTCATCAGTGACCTGGAAGATGGGATAGAGCGTAACCTCGGTAAGTTTGCAAACAACACCAAGCTGGGGGGAGTAGTAGATACGTTGGAGGTCAGGGCTAGGATTCAGAGAGACCTTGACAATTTGGCATATTGGCCAAAGTCTCAGGAGGTTCAATAAGAAGTGCAAAGTCCTGCATTTATGCAACATGGAGAAGTGCAAAGTCATACTGAACCACTGGCCATTGTACAGGCAGGGGAATGACTGGCAAAGCAGCAGTTCCGCAGGAAAGGACTTAGAGGTTACAATAGACAATAAGCTGAATATGAGCCAACAGTGTTCCTTTGTTGTGAAGAAAGCTAACGACACACTGGGCAGCATTAGTAGGAACATCGCCACCAGATCATGGGAATTCTTTCCCTCTATTCAGCACTAGTGAGGTCACATCTGGAGTAGTGTGTGCAGATTTGGGCCCCCAGTACAGAAAGGATGTGGACACACTGGACAGAGTCTAGTGGAGGGCAATGAAAATGGTGAGAGGGCTGGTATACATGACTTCTGAGGAGAAGCTGAGGGAACTGGGCCTGTTTAGTCTACAGAAGAAAAGACAGAGGGGATTTAATAGCAGCCTTCAACTACCTGAAGAGGGGTATTGAAAAAGAATGGAGATAGACTGCTCTCAGTGGTGGCACATGACAGAACAAGGATCAATAGTCTCAAGTTGCAGCAAGGGAAGTTTATACTAGATATTAGGAAAAACTCTCTCACTGGGTGGGTAGTAAAGCAGTGGAACAGGTTACCCAAAGAGGTTGTAGAATCGTCACCCTTGCAGGCTTTTAAGACCTGGCTGGACAAAACCTTTGTGCAGTGGTCTAGTTGAGGATGGTCCTGCTTTGAGCAGGGGTTGGACTAGATGACCTCGTGAGGTCCCTTCCAACCCTAATTTTCAATTATTCTACAATTCCTGGGAGCTGGTCTGGAGACTGGAGATCTAACTCCTGCTGGTTCCAAGAGCTACTTCATACCTCACCCCTCCCTGTTCCACATAAAAGCTGTTTCTCCAATGCACCTTACCCAATAAAAGCACAGAGCATGTAATATAAAAGAAAAACAAACATGCAGAGATTTCCTCCTAGAGGAGATTCACAGAAGAGGAGCAGGCATGACTGATATTAATTATGCTGTTTATTGCAGCACTGAAAGACACTCAGGTGATGAATATTCCATACTGTATCCAGTCCAAGACCTGGGCTGGACTTAACAGCTGCTCTGCCTTTCTGACAGACATCTGTGCGCCACTGTTGTGAGACTGTTCAGCCACTGGTGCTGTTTTGCTCATGCTGATGAAGTCACATGCAAAATGCAGAGCAAGACAATATTAAAGGATGCGAGATGCTAAGCCTGCATATATCACCCTGACTCTGTCTTTGTCTTACCTCTAATAGCTGTACTGCTCCTTCATGCTCCCTTTTTGCCTCAGCCTGGGCCTGGGGTCAAACAAGAGACAAAAAGTGTGTCACAAAGCATCCTTCAAAATCTCACTTCTGCTACCATTATCTTAATAAGCATCTTATAGATTTAAAAACCTGAATAGAGAAACTTGACTGGAAACATCCTTGATCTAAGCCTTGTTAAGTTAGAAGTTTGCATGAAAACAACTCGCACTGACCAGGTATCAGGGCTGCTCTGCGCACTGACACTTCCCTGGAATAGTGTATCTGGTGAACTTGCACATACCTCTTCCCTGCACAGCCTGTCCCTTCAAGGAAACACAATGCAGAAGTCCCATCTGTTTGTAGGGAATCAGAGAGTTAAAGTGTTCATTTTCTCACTCTCTCTCACTCGCTACATACCTGCTGCAGCCGCCTGACTTCCTCTTGTTTCTCCCGCAGTACTAGCAGTGCTTCTTCATGTTCAACCTCCAGCTTCTGCCTTCGCTCTGCCACATCTCTCATGTGCTAGAAAACAAGTCGCACACAGTTTAGGAGAGGTGTTATTAAACCATTGCCTTCTGGATCTCTCCCAGGGGCCCTATCCTCCAACAACAATCTGATAGGCAGCAAGTTGTTTTTCTCACACAGTAACTAAACAAATGGGAAAGCAAGCTTCTTAATGGGAGTGGAGTTCCAAGAACACATTAGGTAGGTCCTTTGCCTACCATAGTTTGCTCTGAGTTGCACCAGCAATACAAACAGTCAGAGTTGCCTCAGACAGCTTCACACTGCCAAATTCCTCTGCCCCCTTGCTCCTTCTCACTTCACAAAGAGAGGACATCAAGCAGCAACTCAGGTCAAGAAGCTTAGGGCCAGAACGCACAGCGCACTGGCCAACCCTCATCTACAAAACCAACTCCATGATATCCAACATAACTCAGACAGCATTGCTGGACAAGGCTGAAGATATGAAATGAGATGCTCCCAGCAGAGGCTAACAAAGCTTCTTCTAAAAGATTGTCTAGATAACAAAGGCCACAAAAAGCAAAACTGTATATAAATGGCCCAAACAAACCAGGAAAACAGACTTTTTGCTACCATTATCCCCTTTCCTGTAAGGCCATTCAGAACAGTATTCAGCATCTTTGCAGCACCTCCAGAGGCCTGGGCCTTACTGACCTTCAGCACCTGCTCTAAATTCTCCAGCTTGGTTTGGAGTCCTTGGCTCGTCTGAATCGCAGAATCCCGTTCCTTAGTGACTAAAACTACCTGCAGCTTCAGGTCGGCATTCTCAGATTCAACCTGTAAAGGAAAGGCTACTGATTCATACAAATGGTCTCAGGCACTCTTTGAAACAATAGCAGAGGTCCATCACTTTACACAGCTACTCCGTGGTCTTCCATCAGCCCATCTTCTCTCCCCTCCAACTGGTAGTCAAACATAACCAAATATTCATATATTTGTATGGGGCTTTAATCTGTTTAACAGATATTCATTCACCTACTGAGTTTCTACTATATTTGTCTCCCCTGCAACATGTGGAGTTTTCTGGAGGGGATTTTTCCTTGAGAAACCTTGGAAGCTGTGCTCTGTGATCTGGAAAGGGTGGGACTAGAGGCAGAGAAGCATGCAAAACCCCACTATAACTTGATACAACTGTTGTGCAATCACCTCTATTCACTATGGATTGTGCAAGAGGCCAGTCCTTAATCTCTAATGGGAATGTGCTATCACTAAGTTATTATTAGCAGTTCAAATCACCAGAGTAAGGCAAATGCCTCCTTGCTGTACAAAGGCCTGATTAATATGCTGAAAGAGCTAACCAGCAGGAAATGACCAGACTTTGAGAACAGAGGTTTGCTTTTCTGGCTCATCTGTATTTCATATGCTAAGAGAAAGAGCCAAATTAAAGAAAAAAAGACACATCTTTGAAATGCATCTGCCCCTTCCCTCCAATCCCAGCACTAATTCTTTATCAGTTCCCACTCACTTGTGCACATTTACAATATTTTTATAAGCTTCAAGGTGCATTTTATGATTACTTTACTGTTCTGCACAGCAAATAGCTGCAGTCCATATGGACAAGTCTTTCCTGTCTGTTTTCCATGTTACTCTGTGAATCTGGGACTACTTTTCTTGCAACTATAATGCAACTGATTACCAGGATGTAATACCTTAATGGGCACTCTACAAACATGGAATGATAGCTGTCTCAGTGGGCACCTTAGGGAGGATTCACCCTGATGGGTGTAGGTGGCCATCTCCTTCCCTGCTTCAAGATCTTTATTAGGCAAGGCAGGTCTAACTAGCACTTGGGCCAATGCCTTGCTTTCTTGACTATGCCCTCCTGGGGCCAGCACTCTCTTTCAGGGGTAACAGTAAACTCATCTCACATTTCCCCATTGACAAGCATCTTATGGCCACCTCTCTTCACTTTAACCTCCCCACGGTGGATTCTGTCCTGTCAGGGCCTTCACCACCTCCGTGACAACTAAAACCCGTGGACATTCCCCAATGTGGGGAATCCAGGCCATAGTTTTATCCTAGTCTAGTAATAACCTCTGCATAATACAAATGCTTTGCAAGTTCAACACAAAGGAAAAGTTAATACTCCATTCAGAGGAAAAAAATCTTCACTGACTACCTGTCCTGCCCATTCAGCCTTCTCATTAAGTCGAGAGTTCTGCTCAGCCAGTCGTACATTTTCACTTTGCACCTCCTCCAACTGGAGTTCCTGTCCAGAGAGAACAAGTATTACTACAGTCAGGTTCTCTGATTAACTGAAAACAGCTCCCTGATCTTCCCAAACTAGAGAGAAAAGGTCAGCTCAGGGCTTACTAAAAGAGCTGCATGCATCTGGATAAACACACTTGCAGGCTTATTCAATGCAGCACCATTCAAAGAACTGGACCACACATTTTGGCCCTGCTATTACTATTATATTATAATATGCTAAGTTCTGACAGTGCACTCAGCAAAGTACAAGACACACGAGCTGAAATCTGGATCCTATTGAAGCCAGTGGCAACACTTCAGTTAATCTCAATGGGGCCAGGACCTCCTTTAAGGAGAAGAAACCAAAGGGGAAATGACACTGGACATTTGCTACTGGCCCCACCCGCCTGCCCCCAGACTAGAGTGGAGCAGAGAATGAACACCTCTGACATCAAGGACTCATAGAAAATTATGGTTGGAAGGGACCTCACAAGGTCATCTAGTCCAAACCCCTGCTCAAAGCAGAACCATCCCCAACTAGATCATCCTACAAAGGCTTTGTCCAGCTGGGTCTTAAAAACTTCCAAGGATGGCGATTCCACAACCTCTCTGGGTAACCTGTTCCACTGCTCTACTACCCTCCTAGTGAGACAGTTTTTCTTAATATCAAACCTAAGCTTCCTGTGGTGCAACTTGAGACCGTTTCTCCTTGTTCTGTCATCTACCACCACTGAGAACAGTCCAGGTCCATCTTCTTTGGAACCACCCTTCAGGTAACTGAAGGCTCCTATTAAATCCCTTCTAGACTAAATAAACCCAGACCCCTCAGCCTCTCCTCAGAAGTCATGTGCCCCAGCCCCCTATCTATTTTAATTTCCCCCTGCTGGACTCTGTCCAGTGTATCCACATCCATTCTGTACTGGGGGTCTCAATTCTGCACACAGTACTCCAGATGTGACCTCACTAGTGCCAAATAGAGGGAAAGAATCATTTCCCACAATCTGTTAGCAATGCTCCTACTAATGCAGCCCAGTGTGTCGTTACCTTTCTTCACAACAAGGGAACACTGTTGGCTCATATTCAGCTTATTGCCTACTGTAACCCCCAGGTCCTTTCCTGCAGGACTGCTGCTTAGCCAGTCGTCCCCCTGCCTGTACAATGGTCAGTGGCTCTGCAGGACTTTGCACTTCTTACTGAACCTCCTGACATTTCTTTTTGTCCAGTATGCCAAATTGTCAAGAACTCTCTGAATCCTACCCCTCACCTCCAGCTTATCTACTACTCTCCCCCAGCTTGGTGCTATTTGCAAACTTGCTGAGGATGTGCTCCATCCCATCTTCCAAGTCACTGATGAAGCTATGGAACAAAACCAGCCCCAGGACTAACCCCTGGGGCACTCCACTTGAAACTGGCTTCCAGCTAGTCAGCAAGCCATTAATTACTACCCTGTGAGACCAATGTTTGAGCTAGTGTTCTATCCACCTTACAGTCCGTTCAACCCATACTCCCTTAGCTTGCTTGCAAGAATGTTGGAGGAGACTGTATCAAAAGCCTTGCTGAAATCAAGGCATATCACGTTCACTGCTCTTCCCGTATCCACAGAGCCAGTCATCTCATCACAAAAGGCAGTCAGGTTGGTCAGGCATGACTTCCCCTTGGTGAATCCACCAGGAAGCACCATTCGCATCACAGGCACTCCTCCACCTGGCTCTCACTGGAATGAACCTGCAAGCCATGGTCTCCAGAGCACCAAACCAGGACCTTGGTGGAAGCCTCAATGGTGAGTGGTCCTGCCTGGACAGACACGTCACAGTCGCAAGCAAAGGAAAAGCTGGCAGTGGCTCTGGCGTTGTGACATCCTCCAATCATTTATCTGGGTCTCAATCTGTGGCCTCTCTCTTCCTGCCTCTCTTTCCAAGCAGACCTTCTCTAGCAAACTTCACTATAAGCTGGCCTGTTTGATGCTCCATGGTCCTGAAAGGTTCCCTTTTTGCTGATAAAGCTTGCAATGAAGGAAGGTTAGAGAGAGTTTCCAGGCAAAGGCCCTAGCAACCTCCCTCTCACTCTGCACTCTAGTTAAACAAGGGACTGAGACCAAGACTTAACAGCTGAATTTGAGCTACTTACACTAAATACACATAGGTTAGCTACCCTTAGATGAAGAAAGAGCTTACCTTAAAGGCTCCCTTTCAAAGAGGAAGACGGTAAAGTGACCTGTGAACTGCTTGCAAACTCCCCTGTTTGTTGCCCCTGTTCTGTAGGCAGCAAGCATACTTACCAGTTCTTTGCATCTTTTGTGCTTTTTCCTCACTTCATGTTCAAGGTTTTCACATTTTTTACGCTTTTTCCTGAGCTCAAATTCCTGCATAAGAAAAACAAAGGAGGCCACAGAGAAATACTACGTCAAATACAAACCAGCAACCTAGATTTTCTCAGGGGGCCTATAAAATTCAAAACCAGGTTCCCTAATCATACAAGCTTTTTCTCTCTTTTCTCTGCGAAAAATCTCTGTGAAAAGTACTTGGGAAAAAAGCGAAGGTGTGTTTTTAAGAAGGGAACAAGAAATACCCAAGCCATATAACTCTTTTATGGGTCCCTTTCTTCTTCCCACCTTTTCAAATCTGGACACAGCTCACTGGTTTCACACTTGCACTGCACTGTCTAACTCAGTGGTTCTCAATCCCAATCACCAAAACTGCAGCCCATGTGACATCCTGTTAAATCATTTTTTTAATGGATACACAGGAAGTAAATTGTGTGGGGGCGACCCACATAACACATTGAGAGCTGCAAGTATGGCCCACTATGGCAAATAGGTTAAGAAACACTGGCCTAACTTCTGTCATGCTCAAGGAGGGCAAGACAATACAGCAGTCAGCACCAGTAAGGTGTTCTGAGCGCTCTATTGTCGAAAAAAGGTCTGTACAAATTATTTTACTTTAACTGAAAAAACCCACTAAGTCAGCCACGCATCAAATCCAGATAGTTACCTAGCAGTCAGGAGAGAGATGCTGTCTCTAGCTGCTTGCTACCTATTTTAGTTCTCCTGCTACTATACATTTTATCAGACTGTAAACTTGGATAATACTATGAGCAAGCCTAGTTTACTGAGATAGTTCAGACGGGGAAGTGAGATGATTGTTGAGACAAGTTCATGACAGGACATACATATCTCAGGTTGACAAGAGGATAAGCTCTGTCCAGGAGACAGCAGGTTCACTTGGGTTCCCTTTTAGTTTTTGCCAAGGTGTTGAGCTGCCAGTGGTGCATCTAGTACATGTCATTCAAGCAAGCAGTCAGCAAAACACCTTAGGACACTTTAACATGCATAGGGAATCATTTCAAAGGGGGAACCACCAGGTCCTATACCTCAGCTGTTCTTTCTCAGCTGTTTTTTTTACATAAGCCAGTTCTCCAGCCCCTCCCATCTCTGCAGACCAGCTGAACCTAGAAACACATCACCCCAAAGGTCATGGATGCAAGAGAGATAAAAGAGGAATGCTCTACCCAGTTACCCTAAAACAAACTTCTTTGAAGTCCCAGTGGAAAATCCCAGATAGGCACATCAACTCACCAACTGCTCTCGTTGCTGGCTATTCTCTTGGTCTGCTAATGCATTTTTCAAAGGGAAGTTTTCAAGTTCTTCACAGGTATGGCCCAAAGGTAGCACTCCTGGCTCCACCTGGAGATGGAGAGAAGTCCCAGCAGATTGTGAGAAAGAGTCAGGACAGCACAGCACAGGAGGGAGAGCTTTGCTGTCCACAGAGCCTAAAGCAGCAGAAGCTCATCAATATTTCTTCTCTGCGAGTGTTCGTGTGCTCTCCTGGGTGGAATTTCACCCAAAAGAGCACACAAATACCAGTAGACTCTCCCTATGCCTGAATAATAGTGTTTCTACCCAAACGCTTACAAAAAACAATTTTTTCAGCCATTTGGTTGGTCTAATAAATGATAACACATTTACTCAATGAATCTCATCTGTCTAAGCACCTATAGAACCTCACCAAGAACGTGAATTACCTTCTACGGAACTTTTAAGCCACCTGTGACAAAATAAAGACAAAGCAACCTTTAAAAAAATAACAACTCTCTAGGTCACTTAGCTATTCAGAGTTTCAAAAGAAGGGGACTCTGCATCTAAGCAACTAGCAAAACATTTTCTCCCTTTTTGATTAGCTAGAGCACGGGAAGCCCTAAACAACTCTTGCCAAGTGCTTTATGAGTCAATTTTCTTTTTGTGTTTCCAATTGTCTTGGGGATAATAAACTAGCCCTGAGGAAAGAAAGAACTCAGGGTTTGCATTCTCTTTCTAGTTCCTGTGGGGTGAAACCATCCACCAGCTCAACCTGCCCTGTTAAATATGATAGACAATTATGAACAATTAGCCTTTCTAGAGTTAGAGTTTTCTTCATAGAAGGGGCAAAAATTCCTAGTTCTCTGCTAAATTATGTGGGCTGTTACCATAAAATTTCACACTGAATTTAGGCACCACTTGAATTTTCTGGGCAGTTTATTTCTGTTTTTTCCCAGAGGCCCAGGGAACATAGGGAAGACAACAGATTACATTAAATCAGTCCTGAACAAGGGAGGGATCTCCTACAACACCTGGACGCTTTCAAATCTACTAGACCAGATGACCTGCACCACCCAAGAGTCCTGAAAGAATTGTCTGAGTGTATAACAGTGCCACTGGCCAAGCTGTTTGAAGAATCGTGGAACTCAGGAATGGTCCCAAATGACTGGAAGAGGGCCATTGTGCCCACTTTTAAGAAAGGGAAGACGGATGACATGGCAAACTACTGACCAGTCAGTCTAACTTCGGTCCTGGATAAAATATCTTTGAAAAATGTGTTAAAGGAGGTCATCAATGACAAGCTGGTAACTGAAGGGGTGTTAAGAAGCAACCAGCATGGTTTTGTCAAGAGTAGATCATGTATGACTAACCTAATGTCCTCCTACGGCCAGGTAACTAGCCATGTGGATGAGGGACACAAGGTTGATGTCATTTACTTAGATTTCAGTAAAGCCTTTGATTCTGTTTCCCATGAGATTCTCTCAATCAAACTGGAGGGTACTGGGCTGGACCAGTCTACAGCGCCGTGGGTGGACAACTGGCTTAGGAGGCTGCTTGCAGACCTGTATTTGATGGGATTGCCTCATCCTGGAGGCCCATCTCCAGTGGTGTCCTCCAGGCAGGGACCGGTGCTTGGACCTGTGCTCTTTAATATATTTATTAATGACTTGGATGAGGGGGTGGAACGCAGGGCTGTGCAAAGCTTCAGTCACTGACTCAATTCAATTCAAATCCAAATCAAATCAGGAGACCCTTTAATCTCTCCGAATCGAATCAGAACCCTCCAAATCAATTAGGAAAGATTCAATGATTCGGACATAAACACAGCTTTAAATGTTTGTCTACATACCTTGAGGTACCAGGCGTGGCTGAACTCTGAGATGCTGGGGCAGATGGAGCGTCCCACAGTAGTTGGGGGGGGGGGGGGGGGGGCCCGGGGCGCGGCACCCCCTGGAAGTGGACTGGAAGTACTTCAAGTCCACTTCTGGGTCTGCCGCTGAGCGCACAGGGGACCCCCACCCCCATGACTCTAGTCTCCTAGGTCTGGGGTGGGGGGCACCCAGGGTCCCCTGTGCGATCAATGGCAGACCCAGAAATGGACCAGAAGTAGTTCTGGTCTACTTCTAGGTTCGCTGCTGAGCACGTGGGGAGCCCCCCACACTCCTGTGGGATGCTCCATCCACCCCACCATCGCAGAGTTCATGAGCTGTGCCTGGTACCTCAAGGTATGTAGACAAAACATTTAAAGCTGTGTCTATGGCTGAATCGCTGATTCTTCAAATTAGCATCAATTCAATTCAGCAGAGTCTGAATCTGAAGAATCAGGACAGTGATCCAAATCAACGAATCGAATCACTGTCCCCGATTCAGTACGAATCCAAAACAGCCTGTTTTGCACACCCCTAGTGGAAAGCTCAATAATTAAATTTGCAGAGGATATGAGAGAAAATGTGGGCACACCAGAGGATAGGGCAAAGATTCAGGATGACCTTGACAGACTGGATTCATGGGTGGAATGAAATCAGATGAGGTTGAACAAGGAGAAGTGCAAGGTCCTTCACCTAGGTAGGAAGAACCCTCACCACAACTACACAATAGGTGGTAGTCCACTGGCTGGCACAGCATTTGAACTAGACCTGGGGGTCATGATCAACCAGAAGGTGAATACGAGCCATCAGTGCGATGAGGTTGCCAGAAGGGCAAACAGACCTCTGGCATGCATCAGCTGATGTATGGCCAATAGATCCAGGGAGGTGCTTCTCCCTCTCTACTTGGCATTGGTGAGGCCTCAACTGGAGTACTGTGTCCAGTTCTGGGCACCACATTTCAAGAAGGATGTGGATAAGCTCAAGAGGGTACAAAGAAAGGCTACCCGTATGGTTAAGGGCATGGAGGGCAGGACCTATGAGGAGAGACTCTGGGAACTGGGTCTGTTCAGTCTGAGTAAGAGAAGGCAGAGAGGTGATTTGAAAGCTGCCTACAAGTGATAGGTGCCTGTCTTAGGGCCTTGGAGGGACAGGTGAGGGAGCTCCAGGAGGAGGTTAGCAGGCTGAGGGGGATCAGAGAAGCAGAGGATGAAATTGATGGGTATTTCCTTTCCCTGCAGGGCCAAGCACCAAAGGGAGAAGAACCCCAGGAGGTGCCCTCCACAGCTGAATGGCAGAAGGTTCCCTCCAGAGCCAGGGCTGCTTGCGGCAGTGCAGTATCAGCTCCCCCAGTCCAGCTGGGGAACAGGTATGAGGCCCTGGCGACACTAGAGGAGAAAGGAGAGGAGGAAACCTCTGAAGAGAGGAGGCCACTCTACACACAGAACAAGCTGCAGGAGGCAAGTTGACCCAGAAGAAGAGACTCCGGATACTCGCCATAAGCGACTCCATCCTGAGAGGAACAGAGGGTCCTATCTGTCACCAGGATCCCATGACACATGAGGTGTCCTGTCTGCCCAGAGCACGGATTCAGAACGTGATGGAGATGAATCCGGCCGTTATCCAGCCCACTGATTACTAACCCCATGGTCCTAATCCACGTGGGCACTAATGATGCAGCCAGGAGCAGTCCAGATTGCCTGATGAAGAACTACCAAGCTCTGGGGGGCAAGCTGAAGGAGAAAGGGACAGAGGTGGTCTTCTCATCTGGCCTTCCAGTGAGCAGACGTGGACGACGCCATGAGAACTGCATAAGGGAGGTCAACTTGAGACACCATTTCTGAAGCCGCAAGGCAGGCTTCGGCTTTTTGGACCACGACCCATACTTCAGAAGAAGAGACATGCTTGGGTGGGATGGGCTTCACCTCTCCCCCAAAGGTAAGCATGTGTTCTCTTTCAGGGTTGGCTGATCTCCTCCAGCAAGCTTTAAACTAGCCTCGCTGGGGGAAGGGGAGGATGAGGATGGAGGGAGCCACAGAACACCGAACCAAGTGACACCCACAAGAACAGCCCGGCCACAGCAGGCAACGAGCATAAGAAGTACCCAGGTAAGAGACTGGGGTCCTGATAGTCCTGGGATTAGGGGGGCGGTGCATACACCCTCAGGAGGCCTCAAATGCCTCTACACTAATGCTCGTAGTGTGGGGAACAAGTTGGAGGAACTTGCCCTCCTGCTAGCTAACACAAACCTAGACAGTGGGCTCACTGAAACTTGGTGGGATTCAACACACAACTGGGCAGTAAACATCGAGGGCTATAGGCTGTACAGGAAGGATAGAACATGGAGGAAAGGTGGGGGTGTGGCGCTCTACATCAAAGAGCAATACACATCCTCAGCAAACAGCACTGGGTCAGAGGAGGGGCAGGCTGAAGTGTTCTGGGTCAGAATACAAGGCGGCAGGGAGAAAGGGACTTAATGGTGGGGGTCTACTGCAGGCCACCCAACCAGGGGAAAGAGCGGGACCAGGAATTCTCAGGTCAGCTAGTGGAGGCAGTTAAGTCAAGGGACGTGGTCATCACGGGTGACCTAAACAATCCCGATATCTGCTGGGACGAGCAGTCAACCAGGTCCGCTCACGTAGGTTCCTAGCCGAGTTACAGGACCTCCATCTAACCCAGGAGGTGCAGTCCCACAAAGGGAAATGCCCTGTTGGAGCTGGTCCTGGCCACAGGCGACGACCTGATGAGGGGACTACAGGTTCTCAACCACCTGGGCGATAGCGATCATCGTCAACTGGAATTCACCATCCAGCACAGGGTGTCAAAGGCCTGCAGCAAAGCAGCAGCCCTGGACTTCAGGAGGGTGGATTTCAATGAGGTAAGGAGACTAGTCGGGGAGGCACTGAGGTCCCAGAGGGGAGGGGAGTTGGGAGTCCAGGAAGAGTGGTCATTCCTTAAGGAGACGATCCCCTCCAAGCCCAAAGGGTGACAATCCCAATGCAGATCAAAGGGGGCAACAGTGCTCAAAAGCCGCCATGGCTCACCAAAAGCATCCAAGAACGTCTCAAAGCTAAAAAGGAGGCATACACCCAATGGAAGGGAGGGGCCATCACCAAGGAGGATTATACCTCCACTGCCCGAGATTGTAGGGGGGTGGTCAGGAAGGCTAAGGTGGAGATGGAACTGGGACCAGCAACCCAGATCAAAGATAACAAGAAGTCCTTTTTTAAATACATAGGG